AGTTTATTTAACCAGTGCTTTATTGATGGTATTTAAGCTGTTTTCAATCTTTTGCTATTACAAACAATGCTGTAATGAACAATCTCAAACATGAAAGAGAAGATTATTTTAAACTAGTACAAATGAGTGGATTAGAGCATTCAATAGGCAAGTCTGGCAAATAGCTAAGATGAGTCCCTTTGTAGAACTGAGGAGTGCGGTGGTTGAGGAAGGGGGCACTGTGGTCAGTTGAATGTGTAATGAATGACCAGGGAGATCTGTCCAAAGGAAAAGTTTTCTTGGATTAATTTTTTCAAAGTGAAATAAACAGAAGGCTTAGAGAGAACTGCATCAGGTAGCAAGACTCATCTTGACAGCCTTAGGCCCTTAAATTTAATCAGATGTTTTTAGTGTTTAGAAAATAAAATTGAGCTTCTCCTTAGGGAGATGGACACATGATTAGAAAAGCCAATTCTTGGCCACTCCCCAAAATTCCAACTTTTTTTAGGAGACCAAGATAAAAAAAAGACTCCCTGCTTGATAAGGTTCTGTTAATCTCAGTAGATGTTGTGCATCAGGCACTGTCGATGGCTTACCCATTAGGCATCCCCTTCCACCCAGAGGTATCTGGGTCAACAAGGCCTTCATAGAACAGCAAGTGCCCAGGTACTCCTTCAGTGTTCTTTAAAGAACTACTTAACCTGGGGTGCCTGGGTGGCTCAGTCTGGTGAGCATCAGACTTTTGATCTCAGTATCATGAATTCAAGCCCCTCATTGGGCTCCATGCTGGATGCGGAGCCTATAAATAAATAAATAAATAAATAGCTGTTTAATATAGTGGAGTTGGGAAGAAATAAATTTTTTATTAATACCTTACTAAAAACAAATTAACCTGAATGAATATTCCCTAATGGAAGCAGAATGAGTATGAAAACATCAGCCCGGTTAGTTCACCTTTTCTATAGCTCTCCTTCCTTTTCTAGCTCTCTTTCACCATGGTTTTTTTTGTTTGTTTTGTTTTGTTTTTTAACTAAACAAGTTCCTTAAAGGCACACTGAGGTTACAAAAACATAACACAAAAGATCACACAATCTACACAGCACTATTCACACATTATTTGTTTTTAGAATCTCTGTCCTGCTGACTTTCACTTTAGGGTTACTGGTTGTGAACGTTGCAGAAAAAATTCACCAGGGTTACAGGTCTGCTTTGGAAAAGAGTTTTGTTGTTTTTCAAATTTCCCCTCAAGGGCAGTAGTCTAGAGGTGGCCACTTTTTACTTTTTAAATTTGTTCCAGTGATTGCATCATTTTATACATCATCATACCACAATAACTACACTTGTCACTCATCCCCAAATCTGACTGTGGGTCACAGATTAAAACAAGATAAGCACTGAGACAGTGGAATGCAAAGTGCTGTGGAGCACGGAGGGGGAAAACAATAATGCTTTTTTGTGGCCATTCAGAAGGTAGTTTGTATAGTGGGAGAAAGCATGGATTTTTGAGCCAGAAAACAGGCCCAGCCACATAATTTGCAGTGCCCAGCACAAAAGGAGAACGTGGAACTCCTTGTCACAATTATCAGGAATCTTGGGGCACCTGGATGGCTCAGTCGGTTAAGTATCCAACTCTTGATTTGGCTCAGATCATGATCTCAGGGTCGTGAGACTGAGCCACAAGTCAGGCTCTCAGTGGGTGTCCAGTCAGTTTAAGCCTCTCTCCCTCCATCTGCCCCTCAACTACCCACTCACTCTCTAAAAAAAAAAAAATCTCAAGACACTGACAGCAGAGCATTTAACCAAATGTGGGGCCTCCATGCAGGTGACACCCTATGAAGCTGGGCCTGCCGGAGGAGCTTGGGTTCAAACCTTTCTCCTGTCCCTGCCCCCTCTCCCCCCACCAAAGCCTTCTGGTTTTTGAGCAAGTCACTTTCCTGAGTCTCACTTTTTTTGAGCAAGTCACTTTCCTGAGTCTCACTTTTCTCATCTGTAAAACAGTGATAAATGAACCTTCCTTCTGGCGTTGGTATATGGCTGAAATGAAAAGCACTTGACACATGATAGGTTCACAATCCTCTTTCTATTCTGTATTGTGGGCTCTGATGTGAAATGTTGGGGTTCAGAAACTAAAGATTAAGATTGAGATGTCTTTGGTGCAAAAATATGTGGTTTTATTAAAGCACGAGACAGGACCATGGGCAAAAAGCTGCACTGAGATCATGATAAGAGACTGATTATATACTTGTAAGTTTGGAGTGTGTTAGCGATAGCTTAAGTCTCCAAGGAATTTGGAAGCAAGGCTTCCAGGACCTCGAGGGGCTAGTTGCTGTTAGGATAAGGTCATTCACTACTGTCTAGTAAAACCTTAATCATGAGACCCTTCAGATATTTATCAGTGGACCATATGTTTGGAGGATGATTGCTAACATATATCTTGGCATGGGCAAAGGGCGGTGTAGATATAAAGGTGGTTTCCAAAGGGATTTTTATATGTTTAAGAAGACTTACAGGATCCTGGAGGTCGGACTACTGTCAAGCTAAGGTTACCTTCTGCCTTCAGCAAAGTTTTGAGGCAGTTGAATTCCTGGAAGAAAGTTATTCTGCCTATCCCAAGTACTTGTCAATGGGTTCTAAGTTGTAAGGAAGTTTAATTTTTCCTACATTTCTTTTATCTTTGTTCTCCACATCAGTCTCCATCAATTCTGTAGGCATCCATCTTCTCATTACCCACTATCCTATCCTTTTAATATCTTTCAAAGGGGTATTAGAGTAAACATCACAAAACAGTCACTATCTAATCATTTATAACCCACAAAGTGGCAATTTCATGTCGTACAACCTAATACAAAAGCCTTAGCATGACTGAACAGGACTGTCCTCAGACCCAGGCACCTGAGACCATGCCTTTGTGCCCATGTTTTAGGGGACACATGCCCGTGTCCCCCTACCTTACCTACCCCTGCACTCTTCCAGATGCACCTTTCCCCATCTAAAGAAAGTACCATGGGCTAAATCCTCCACTAGACCACATTTCAGTACGAGGATGCCAAGATTCGTTGCCCAAACGGCCCTAGGCCTTTATAAGACCCCACCTTGTCTCTGCCCAGGAGATGCTTCCTCCACGGAGGTTGGGTGTTAAATCTGGGCGAACTACCCCACCTCCAGACACCGATTGGGCCCAGTGGGTGGAGCTTGGACAGGCGGAAAGGGTTGGGGGCAATGGTGGGATAAAGGCGGGGATACTCTATGCACACATGCCCACCAGGCACGCATGCGCACCAGACCACAGGCAAAGCAGCCCAAACCTGGCTGGGGAAAGGAGGGCTTCTGTGGCTGCGTTTGTACGTTTGCCCCTCTCTTCCTTTTCACCCTCCATTATAAGGGGTCTGCCTAGCCTTTGAGGCTCCCTGTGTTCTGTCCACAACTTAATTTTCCAGTCTTATCTGTAGATAATGTTTCTCCGAACGTCCTCCCAACTACCTATTATGTCCACAAATATCCTGTATATTTGTCTAAAAACACCATGACTTTCTACACGATGCTGTCTCATCGTGTAGATAAGACTTTCTCCCTTTCTACACGGATGAAATTCTAGTTATTTAAGAACCGACTTACATATCAAAATTCTTGTGTTAGTCATCCCTGCCAATTAATCCTCTTTACCTTCCTGACCTTTACCCCAGGGTGAGTTAGCTGCTGTGTGTGTGTGTGTGTGTGTTTTACCTACCGCGATCTCGTTAACACCTTCAGGAAGACATATCACATTGTATGTACTTGGTTTTTTTTGCTCCTAGACTAGACTGTGTGGGAGCTCTGCCAGGCTAGAAAAAGTGCTTCTTCATAGTGCCTAAACCCTGAGCTTGGCACTCCATAAATAGTCAAGGAATCTCAGTGGGATGTTGTCATCAAAATCCCAGCACCCCTAGGGATCAACTGGCCTTAGACAAATTACTGAATCCCAGTTTCCTCTTCTTTGCAATAGAAATAAACATAATTACCTTCTCACATGGCCCTATGGATTAAATAACTAAACAAGCCATCCAAACTGCTTCAGCACAATGATAAATAGTTTGACCCCAATAAGGGATAACCGTAATTAAATTAGCTCCTATATTCTGATTCTTGAATGTGTAAGAGGAAGTAAATAGTTTTTTTGAGCCAAAATCATGGTTTCTTGGAATTTGTATTTAATACCACAATCTTAATAGGACCGTGAGAAAATAGGTTTAAAAAACTGCCTGAGGTAGAGTAACCCTCAAAAATTGTTTATCAAAAAGATACCAAGTAGAGTTAATACATCCAAATTATTAGGTAACTCTTGGGACCCTTGGCACCAAATGGGTAAGAAAAATACAGAATTACAATCTATTTTGAGAGCTATTTATAATGTTTATGTATTGACTAAAAATACAGAAATAAGGAAGCATCAAGTGTTTTTTATAATTGCCTCTTTAAAAACTTTTATAAATAGATGTAATAACTATGTTTTTAAATAGCTACATATTTAGGTATTCCTACAAACCATGCTGTAATTATACATATATATTTCATTTAGATGTTTTTTAAATAAGGAAAAGTTTTAAAAAATTAAAAAGGAAAAGGTAATTGCAAGGAAATAATGCTAACAGAAACAAAACAATCACTATGCGTTGCTTTATGTATCATAGGCGGTCTGCTCTGACTTGTTACCCTAAATTGGGGCCTTTTGCCTATTAGCATATTATGCACACTGATACTTGCATACTTGCACCACTAAATCCTGTTTTTATTAAGGAAAAAAAAAAAGCAAGAAAATGGAATGTGATCTAAGCTTGCAGGAAACATAAACACTGGATGATTTCACTTATTTGAATCTTACTGCTCATATAGAATGACTGTAATAAAGTTTGCCCATTTTGGTGAAAAATTTAATGATTTCAATCTTTGTTTTTCCAAGCTAGTACAAGTAAAATAAAAATCAAAAGGATACTGCTGTAAAGCAGGTGAAGCAAGCGTCAGTTGCAAAATTGGACACTTTCTTCTGCAAGCTCTCTATGCTATTAACTGTTCGAGTTTCTATTTTCAACTAAGGGAGACTACGGACCTGCCTAGCTACAAGGGGGAACTATGCAAAACTGTTTTCACAACAGTACATCTCCTTGCACTTTTAAGATTTACTTAAGTCCACAGGAGCTGCTAATTTAAAGTCTCGGGCTATCTGAAGATATCTGGGGTTGAGAATGAATAAGTTATGGGGAAGATGGAGATAATGATAGCAAACTTAGAGCAGGATTTCCAAGGCACAGAAAGACACCTGGTATGTCACGTGTATTTTAGGTGGTAGGGCTGAAAATTAGTGCTAGCCTTACAACAGTAACAACCACATCACCACAGTAAAATAGCTTTTCTTTGAATTGCCTTTTGTGCTTAAAAGTATAACAAATGGAAAACCAACTTTACTCTTGTCATAATGCTAAGGCACAAAGAGTTAAATTCTAAATTAGAGGAAAGAGGAAACAGAAGCTTCCTATGGAAAGAGATGGCGGAGTTTGGCATTGAGTTCTCTCTCCTTGCTTAAAAGATCCAGGCTGTGCTTTTTGAAGGCTTCAGACTGCAGCCTGAGTTCATCATAGGCCTTCTGGATCCCGTCGACCCTGCGCTGAAGTTCTCGGACTCTCAAGTTACTGTCCACGGCCATTGCCTCTTGTTCGAACCTCTCCAGGGCATGCCTCCGGGCCACATCGGCTGTCTCCAGCTTCTCCTCAAGCTGCCGGATCTCTGCTTGCTTGTTCTGAAGCACCCGGCCCCTCTCCATGGCCAACTGCAACAGCTCATCTTTCTCGCGAGTGACCGTCTGCAGCCTGGCCTGCAGCTCCTGGTTCAGGCTGCCGTGCGCCTGCTTGGCGTTGGCCAGCTGCTCCACGGCCTGCCGGTGCTTCTGCTTGAGGCTCTGCAGCTGGCTGCGCAGCTGCTCCATCTCCTTGGTGTGGGCGCCGGCCCGCTGGCTCTGCAGCTCCAGCAGCTCCTTCTCTCTGGCTTGCGCCTGGCGGGCCTCCTGAGCGCATCTCTGTTTCACGGTCTCCAGCTCCTTGGACAGGGCCTCGCTCCGCGCGGTGAGCTGCGACACTTTGGCCTCCTGGTCCTTCAGAGCCTGGCTGAAGAGGTTGCTGTTCTCCAGCCTCAGCTTCTCATTCTCCTCCCTGAGCTTCACGTTCTGACTCTTGTGTTCGTCCTTGAAGCGGATCATCAACTCGTGGTTGGCTGCCAAGGTCATAAAGCGTTCCTCGAGCTGCTGGGCATGCGCGCTCTTGGCCTTCAGCTTCTCAGCCTCCAGCACCATCTTCTCCTCCAGCTCTGTGTTGAGCAGCTCCAGGATCTGGCAGCGCTCCAGGGCCTCATCTGACCTCCGCTTCAGGATGCAGATGAGCTGGGACTGCTCTTGGATGCGGGAGCAAAGCATCGCTTTCTCGCTCTTCTCCTCCTCGGACAGACCCCGGAGGTTTGCCAAGGCGTCCCTGAGACCATCCAGTTCCTTAAACTCCATCTCCTCTTCCTGCTTTTCTAGTTTTTTGGTTTGCTCCTCTAAGGGCTCTTCCGGGGGTGGAGGATCCATGCTGAGAGGCTCCTCTTCCTGAGGCATAGGCGCTGCTCTCCTCCACCATCGGCTGACTGCACACTCCTTCCCCGTCAGATTCAAAATTCTCAGGGTGTTGTTAGGGACTCCCAGCACGCTCCAGCAGTTGCTTTTTCCAGTAAGGAGCCCTGTGATTGGTGGGCAGGTCTCCAGACTGCTGTGAAGTAACAGGGAGGTCTGGGGGAGGCCAGAACCAATCCAGTCGGGTTATGCTTGCTTTCCAACAAATCACCAATCACAGCTCTCAGCGTTCAGCTCTCAGCTCCAGCCCGGCGTCTTGCCTGTACTGGACAGAGAGGATATGCCAGCCCCACTGGGTTTCCACCCAGCCTCGGGGGAAGAAAACCCGGCTCTACCTAATTTCTGGAGTAAACAAATTAAGCTGCGGGGACGTATTTTTCCTCCCTCTCCCCACTCCAGCTGTCATGTGGAAACAAGTTTGCTCCTTAAAAATCTGCAATCTATAAAAACAAAACAGCAGCTCTACCCGGGGAGTCAGGATCCTAAGTGCTTTGTGAGTTGTACCTGCAGTGTTCAACACAGCTCAGTAAAAGAGCAAACCCCAACGAAATTTCTTTCGCTTCCCTTACCATGGTCCTCGGCTTGGAATACCTCTTACTAGATAGGCAGCATTTCCTGTTTTTACCCATTAGCCAAATAAGGTTACAGAAAGAATCTTAACGAACAACAAAGATGTGATAAACATTACAACTGAAAAAAGATCCAAATGAGGCTTACCGTCATATACCAAAGTCAATTCCGGAGGTATTAAACAGTTACATGTCACGAGTAAAATAAAATTAAAGTATTAAAAAATGGAAACTAGAAGGAAATTAAGGTAAGCATAAAAACCCTGAGTCAGAAAGGACTTTCTCAGCTTAAACATTATGTAAAAGATGAGTAAGGAAAAGCTTAATTTGACTTTGCTGAACATCTCAAGTTATTTTCACTTTTTGAAATTGTGAGTTCTGAGGTCTCTCCAGCCTCTTGTTTCTCAGGACCTGACATTTTATGCCTTTGTCCAACCCAACTACTGAAGTTCCCCGAAGGGACCAGCTCTCTCGCCTCCTTTGAGGCATTCTCTCTGCCTGGAATGCCTTTTCCCGCCTTGTCCCTTGTTGCTCCACTAATTTACTCAGCATCAATACTCAGGATCATCTCCTCTGTGAAGCCTTTCCCCGCCTTTACATGAGAACTGACCACTCACTTTGAGTGCATCTGCTGTAGACTGCTCACACTTCTAATGGAAACTGTGAAAGCCTTATTGCACTCCGTGGTCACCTGCCTGCCTCCTCTTACTAAGCCCTGAGATCATTAAGGGCAGGAACTGCGTCTGGGCCATCCTTGATTCTTGACCAGTGCCTGGCACTTTGGGAAGGCTTAGATAAACGTGTGCTGAATGGATGTTGAAGGCAAATTTCAAACTGGGAAAAATACCCACCATAAAGATGACAGACAATAGATTTATATTTTTGTAGAGAGCCTGAACAAATCAATAAAGCATTAACATCGTAAAAGAGAAATGAACAATTAAGTTCACAGATAAGAGGATGGAAATGGTCCAGTATTGAACGCTATCAGTGATCTAATAAATATGTTAAAATTAGATATTGTTTCATCTACCAATCTAGTCAAAATTTTCCCCCTATTTTAAAACTACCCAGGATTGATGAGGGTACAGCAAAATAGGTGCTCTCTCATAGTCTTAGTGAAAGTGAGTTGACAGTAGGTATTAAGGATTTGAAACATGTTTATGCCTTTTGAACTAATGATTGCCCTTCTGGGGAAGAGTTTTGTTTAGGAAATAATCCAAAAGAAAAAATGTTGCTCAAAGCTTTTCATGGCACTGTGGTTTATAACAACTAAAAGCTGGAAACCTAAATGTCCAAAAAAGAGATAATGTTAAGAAATTATATTTTCTTAGAATATTATGCAGCCATTAAACATTATCATCTTTTTTTTGTATTAATTTTTTTAATTTTATTTTTTATAAACATATAATATATTTTTATCCCCAGGGGTACAGGTCTCTGAATCGCCAGGTTTACACACTTCACAGCACTCACCATAGCACATACCCTCCCCAATGTCCATAATCCCACCCCCCTCCCAACCCCCCTCCCCCCATTAACCCTCAGTTTGTTTTGTGAGATTAAGAGTCACTTATGGTTTGTCTCCCTCCCAATCCCATCTTGTTTCATTTACTCTTCTCCTACCCCCTTAACCCCCCATGTTGCATCTCCTCTCCCTCATATCAGGGAGATCATATGATAGTTGTCTTTCTCCGATTGACTTATTTCGCTAAGCATGATACCCTCTAGTTCCATCCACGTCGTTGCAAATGGCAAGATTTCATTTCTTTTGATGGCTGCATAGTATTCCATTGTGTATATATACCACATCTTCTTTATCCATTCGTCTGTTGATGGACATCTAGGTTCTTTCCATAGTTTGGCTATTGTAGACATTGCTGCTATAAACATTCGGGTGCACATGCCCTTCAGATCACTACGTTTGTATCTTGAGGGTAAATACCCAGCAGTGCAATTGCTGGGTCATAGGGTAGTTCTATTTTCAACATTTTGAGGAACCTCCATGCTGTTTTCCAGAGTGGTTGCACCAGCTTGCATTCCCACCAACAGTGTAGGAGGATTCCCCTTTCTCCGCATCCTCGCCAGCATCTGTCATTTCCTGACTTGTTAATTTTAGTCATTCTGACTGGTGTGAGGTGGTATCTCATTGTGGTTTTGATTTGTATTTCCCTGATGCCGAGTGATGTGGAGCACTTTTTCATGTGTCTGTTGGCCATCTGGATGTCTTCTTTGCAGAAATGTCTGTTCATGTCCTCTGCCCATTTCTTGATTGGATTATTTGTTCTTTGGGTGTTGAAAACATTATCATCTTTATAAGGAATTTAATGGCAATGGAATTTAATTTTATGCTGAAAAGAGAACTGAAAAGTAAAAAATGTAAAATTCAAAATGATCTTAAATGCTGGGAAAACTTAAGCACAGAATGAAAAGTTGACTATTCCCACAGGCGCTGTTTCTGATGTTCAGACTTTGTCTCTCAAGTCATGATGAAAAGGAAGAAGTCTGGGTGTCATTACAGATGTTGGGTGGATTTTTCAATGCCTCAGATTTCACTGGAAGCAAAACAGATCAGAAAGAAGTTTCAGATTTTCACTTTGGTCTCAAAGATCAGGGTCTCGTGTCTACAAAAGGAAAGTGATGTTGGAAGACTGGGGAAATTTTTTTTTGAACTTAAATTTTAATAACTTCTGAAGTTATAGAATATTGATGTTTTATGAAAGTGGATTCCAAAGACTTCAAAAAATATAAATTAAACTTACCTGTATTTTCCCCTCATTTCTCTTCTTTTCCTTAAATTTCAAGCTCGTATACTAAAATGAGACTTATAAAGATGAGACAAGTGACTATAAAATTAGAACAGTCCTCTTCATTTAAACATAAAGGGTCACACATATATTGAATGTATTATTTGCTGATTACCACATATGGTTGTCTGATGTACTAAAGTGAATTCACAGAGTATATTTCCTAAGAAAAGAAAAAGATGACAGGAAAAATACTGAAAGTGTTAACAGCAGTTGTTTCTTGAGGGATGAGCTTCTGGATGTTTTCTCCTCTCTCTCCACCTTTTTATGTCCTTTACACGTGGTGGATGCTCGATGATACTTGTTGATTAAACAGATTTTCCACACTAAAAATATTTTACACTTAAATGTTAAAATTATTTTATTTTATTGAAAGATTTTATTTATTTGACACACACACACACATAGAGAGAGAGAGAGAGATCACAAGTAGGCAGAAAGGCAGGCAGAGAGAGAGGAGGAAGCAGGCTCCCTGCTGAGCAGAGAGCCTGATTGGGGCTCTATCCCAGGACCCTGAGATCATGACCTGAGCTAAAGGCAGAGGCCTAACCCACTGAGCCACCCAGACACCCCTAAATGTTAAAATTATTTTAAATAAGTCCATAGATTACTTGTCAAATCTAAGAATCTCCCAAGACTCTAATCTCCCAAGACCCTAATCAATATACATTCACTGATTTACTCAACAAACAGTTACTATGTACAATGCGGTGTAAGATGCTAACAAATAACTTAGATACCATCTGTCTTAGAGAATTTGCAGTTTAGTAATAAAGACTTTGGGCTCCTCTCTGCATGGTTGTTTTTCTTGTTCTATCATTTTCCCCCACCTACTTTTGAATCTGAAAATATCCAGTATACTTCCTCCCCAGGCGTCTGAGGCATAAAACTGGGTCGATGCTCTCCCTAGTGATGACCAGAGTCCCCTCTTCTTGCCTTTGTTGAGTCTTTTGATGTCTCTTTCTTTGAAGCTACTACTTACAGAGTTTGTCTATACAGCAGTACTGGGCATTTCTATATCTTCTGTCATTTAACTCTAACAATATTCTTGAAAGGTAGGCATTGTTATCTACATTTTATACTTTATAGGGAACAAAGAAACCAAGGCACAGAGCAGTTAAGCAAGTTACCCCATGTCACCCAGAGAGTGATAGAGCCAGAACTCAAACCCAAATCATTTTGATACCAAAGGTGGTTCTATTGTTCACTCTGGTGTTCCAAATGTCAGGGATTTGAGAATAGGAGGAGGCAGGCAGTCCCAGAGTGAGATACTAGAACCAATCGCACTGTTTCATAGCTGGCTGGATGTTGGAAGGTGGCAGAGCAGGTAACTGAAAGAAGGGGAAAGGAGCTGGTACCTTGATGTGCAGGAGCTAGAACAAGATTTGGACTTTGACTACTATCCCTGGCCGACCTAGGAGGTGTTTCTCCACTCAGCTAATCTCGTCCCTCCTCTGTGGCCAGAACAGAATCAGGGCATAGAGCTGGACTACACGTCTTCCTAGAAGACCTTGCGAGACAATGGGAAGGACATTGTTCTAGGTTAGCCACTCAAACTGGCAAATGGGTAGAAGATTCTAACATCTTTAGAGGAGGCAAGCAGTCTGGTCATTTTCAGTGACATTTGCTAGACTCTGTTGTAAGGTCTCTCACTCCTGACCATCCAGGCTCCCCCTAACCTACATTAGAATCACTGCTTGTTTTGAGGAAGGCAAGCAAGTTGGGTCCTAAGGAGGATATAATGCTTTATATATTAAAATAAGCCCAAAAATGCCTCCATGGGAAACTTTCCAAAAATAAATGTTTACTTCCCTTCAATGCTTTTCAACTACTTTTTTAAAATAAAAATTCCAGTTTCAATAACATAGAGCTTCTCACTTAGAGGAAATGATGTGCAGAGTTCCAGTAAAGACTTGAGAAATATTAGCTAAGCGGTTCTTTAGCCTTGCTGGGAAATTTAAATCTGAGGATTCCTAACATAAAGTATTTCATTCAAAATAAGAAGTCAGATTAATTGGACAACACAACTAAATCATATAGTAATTTACTCTAAGGATTTTTACAAAATACTTTATGAAATTATACATACATAGGAAGTACAGTTTACATTCTAATTAAAACTTCATTGCAAAGCTTCTCTGTGAGCACTCTCATGCTAATTTCATAGAGTTACAGGAACAACAGAATCTTATATATGCAAGGTTTTTGTTTTTGGTTTAGTTTTACACAGTCTATTACAAAATACAGGCTTGAGATCTTAGGAGAAAATTAAGCCAAAAGCTGAATTCCACCGATGAGCCAGTGGGTGGCACCAAAGCACAAACGAGACTTTGACAGTGGGACAGGGGAAAGCACTTTCAAAGGCAGGAATACATGCGCTAGATTCAGTCTTCCGGCCCTAACCCGGAATTCCGTATTTTAACAGAGATTACAGAGTAAATAGTTTTCCTATGGTCAATTCTTTACTATCACGGATATTCTGCCTTTACCCCCCTTCTAGGAATTTTTTTCCTGTCCCTCTTTCCCAAAAACTGCATATTTTCAGTTCCTGCGAGGGTTTTCAACCACTGAGTAGCAAGCAGGCCCTTCTAACTGCATGGCATGTGGTGTGAAACACGGGATGGCAAACTAGAATATTTTGCTGGGTAAAAACACCCCACATTTAATATTTGTTGATGGCTTTTTCTTTGAAGCAGCAGCAACTGTTTGATTTTCCTAACTTTCTCAAATATCTTCTCTCATGCCGAAGTCACAAGTAAGTTACACACGTTATTCTTGCTTAAATCTCTTGGGGCTTCTAACCAAAGAACCATATGCAGGTTGACCTTAACATGCTGTGTAGCCTCCGTTAGTGGCAAGAGGCAGCAGACGAGAATCTGTCCACACAGTCAGGTTTGCAAGATCAGATTCCACCTGCTTAGTAGTTTTCAGTGGGAGCCAGTCGACTTTGGGTTCATTTTGAAATCTTGGCAATCAGCAGCATTCTGAGAGGCAGAGTTGCTTCAATCCAAGTGTTGGGGGAATTTACCATCTTTTCCCAGAGAGCAACTTCCTCTGAAGTAGAGTCCATCCAATCCACTTCAGTACCATAGCTTTTACCTGCAAAAGGGAAAAAAAAAAAAAAAAAAAAAAAAAGGAGGCTTTCTAGTTAGAAAAAAATAGTTCATTGGAGGGAAAAAATGGATCATCCCCTAATTACAATCATCAATGGAAGACAGTGAGGGATAGTTTTAATATCACCAGAAGGGCATATGTGGGGCTCATTATAAGAAAGAACTGTTTAATCACCTGAAATGTCTGTTAACAGAGGAGTCCATAATTGGGACTATTCCCTCTACTCAGAGAGTAATGATCTCTCTTTGTGTTCATAGAAAAGCTGGCTAACAATCTGTCAGGGACACAGTGAGGTAGTAGGGGTAAAGCCTGGCACTGGGTGGGAAGTAACACCAGATGATCTCCAAGGAAGTGTAGTTTGGGGTTTAGTGTCTAACAGACTCAACTTTGAATCTTGGCCCTCATACTGATAAGTTCTGTTAACATCATTTCTTGGAACATCAGTTCCTCTGGGGACAACATCAGTAATTACTCACAGGATTTCTGTGAGGATTCAACAAAATAATATAAATAAAGCACTCAGTACAGTGACTAGTACCCCATAAATACTATTTACTATGATTATTTAAAGCACACTTTTAGTCATGAAAAGATATAAACGGTTTTTCAGGGGACAGTAGTGATGAAGGCTTTTTTGTGCCTCCCACACACAATAACTTGAGCTCTGTGTGGACAGATACTACATCCTGTTAATCTTCATATCTAGAGTCCTTGGCATACAGCCTGACATTCCTTCACTCATTCATTTCATTATACTTAATAGATAGAGTATCTGTTTTCATTAGGAAAAAAACAGACAAACCCCTAGTATCCCCAGAAGCACTTGGCTCGTAGAGGATTAAAAGTGTAACAAACATTACCTGTTCCAAAGCCAATCCGAAGACCTCCCAAAAACTGGTTGGTTAATTTGTAATGGTCCCAGACAGTAAGCTCTACACAGGCTTCTGTCAGATCTTCAGGCCTGAACCCGTCATACACCATGGTGTGGTTGAAGACAGGATTGGTGGTTTTCCCTACAGCTCTGGTTTTTTGACGACTTTTCCTACTTGTATCTGGAAGGATGATACTATAAAAGGAATCATTATTGTGAAAGCATTTTAATAAGATGGTGAACATTTATGCTTTCATTGAACGTCAATACAACTACTGAAGACTGGCCGAAGGAAATGGAAGTGTAGAGTGTAGAGAGGCAGTGGTGGTGGTGGTGATGGTGGGGGTGGTGATGGTGGTGGAGATGAAGGTGGTGGGGGTGGCAGCGGCAGCGGTGATGGTAGTAGTGATGATGGCAGTAATAGTAAAGGTGATGATGGTGGTGGTGACTGTGGTGGTGGTGGTGGTGATGGTGGCAGAGATGGTGGTAGTAGTGATGATGGTGGTAACGGTTGTGATGATGTTGATATGTTGTTGGTGGTGATAATGGTGGTGATGGTGGTGATTAATAGCAGCATCCTGCTAGACAGACTCTGTATTACAGTGGACCAGACTTGCTTTGAATCCTGACTCTGTTACTTATTGGCTGTGTATTACAGGGAAGTCACATAATTTCTCAGACTCTTGCTTCTTCATCTTTAAAATGAGAATGCTGATGCCTGTTTCATAAGGTTAATATTAGAATTACATATGAAGCAAACAGCTTAGTGCTTTCATTTAGTAAATGCTTAATGTGGTAGCAATTGCTTGAGGATTCCTTTAGCATTTGGAAACATTCTTGATAATCTGTTTTCTGTTTTTAACTTATGATATCTCTTATAAACACAAGAAGGTCTGCGAGCGGTCTCAGAATGAGAGACTGACCTGAGCTGAAAAATCTCACCAGTTGACATCTATGAATAATTTGTATAGGGAAAATCACAAATACTGCCATAATATCTAAACAGCTATAACTGATCTTCTGGGAGAATCTATGTAGATAAAATTAGTCAGTGGGAGCTAAGAGAACATGCACTAATATCTGTGGAGTTACAACTGACAGATGCCAGGCATTTATATATAGAACAGAGGAAAAAAGTTTGCCACTTTAAACTCAAATTGTCTTAAGGTCCTATGACAAACTATTAGTAAGGGTCTATTTAGCACGTCATTTTCTATATATTGCAGGATGAGGCAAAAGAACTTTTGCAAATAGTTCACAAAGGTGGGACCAGGGACAGAAGGAAGAATTCACCCTGCACCACAAAGGAGTCAGGGGCATGGCATCTCACCATTAGAAATCCGATGGGTTTTTTATACTGACTATTTTCCACCAGCAAATATATCTCCTAGAAGACATTCCATATCTGAGTACATGGTCCCAGTTTCATTTGTATGTATGCCCTCTTTATGGTTTTAAAACTAAGCAAATGCTTAGGGGTTCATGTCAAAGATTCCTCTAGTTCATGTCACTACTGTCTCAAGTTATGTCATTTAAACCATGAATGATGAGTTTCAGCATCACAGATATTGAGACCTAAAACAATGAGCAAAGGCCAGGCTCTGGTAGAACTGAGAGAAGCAGAGTTACAGATGCTGTTACCATTTAACAAAAGAATTTAGATGGCTGCCCCTTAGCTGTGGTAGATCAAGACATTCCTTCACCCAGATGTGCACCTCTCCTGTTGTCGGAAGCTTTTTACCTGTAATGGGAAAAGCACAGAAAATAAAATTTCACTGACATTCTTCTCTTGGCAATACTACATCCAAAAATGCCAATCTAAAAATGTCTGGCACAGTGATACTAGCTAGAGCTTGAGGATATGATCCTAATTGGCTAAATCTATACATTCTTAACTAAATCCTCCATAGTCTGGCTACATTGTGCTCAGAGAGTTCTATGAAAATAATTTACATTGGGGAAGATGGGAGCCTCAGTTGGTTAAGCACCTGCTTTTGGCTCAGGTCATGATCCTCGGGTTTTAGGATTGAGCCCACATTGGGCTCCCTGCTCAGTGGGGAGCCTGCTTCTCTTTCTCCCACTCCCCTTGCTTATGCTCTCTGTCAAATAAATAAATAAACCCTTAAAAAAAAGAATGGTAAAAACCCAAAGGAAGTGAATTGAGAGATGGAGAGAGAGAGAAAGGAAGAAGTTTTAGGGATATCATTTGAACTCCTGTATCATACAGTACTTAAAGCCAGCCCAGAGGTGCCTGGGTGGATCACTTGGACGAGGATCTGACTCTTGATTTCAGCTTAGGTCATGATCTCAGAGTCATGGCACTGGGCTCTCTGCTCAGTGTGGAGTCTGCTTGAGATTCTCTCTCTCCCTCTAACTCTGCCCCTCCCCTGGCTCATGCTCGCTCTCTAAATAAATAAATAAAATCTTTTAAAAATAAAAAAAAATTCATATCGATTCTAAGTACAGAATACTGTATCATTCTTTCTGGGTTTGTCTTGTTTTAGGACAAATTAAAGATATCCGGTATGTAAATCATCCAGTTATAGTCATATTCAATACATCTCAATGAAATGCATCTCCCTTTCAAATATTAATACTAACTTCAATTGCTGTTAATGGGAGGCATTTGAAACCTACTGAATATAAAGTAATCAAAATAAGTACTGGCTAAGGTACCACTCTTGTTAAATGTGGTTACATACTTTATGGGAACATTGTATACACACAAATAGCAACTAATGATATGGACAGGGAATTACTGAGAAGTTGGCTTACTCTTCACTTGTTGACTAGAATGGGTGCACATGGACAGAGGGCCACTGCCATATTTTTCTGAATAGTTTAACCTGGTCGACCAATCAGAATTTAATGAGTATCTCTGATGTACTCAGGCCTATGCTAGGAATGTCATTGAATATACAAGGGATATGAGAAATCTATGTCTCATCAAATTACTACACAGAGTAATTCATATAAAAACTATAAAAATGTAATACAGAATGAAATGCCAAGTTCTCACTGTAATGTTTTTTGTTTTTTAAAGATTTTATTTATTTATTTGACAGAGATGACAAGTAGGCAGAGAGGGAGGCGGGGTGGGGGGGGGAAGCAGGCTCCCTGCTGAGCAGAGAGCCCCATGCAGGGCTCCATCCCAGAACCCTGGGATCATGATCTGAGCCAAAGACAGAGGCTTTAACCCACTGAGCCACCCAGGCGCCCCTCACTGTAATATTCTAAATGATGATGCGATCAGAGAGGGTGAAAGGATATAGCCAGGAAAAGCTTTATGGAAAATATGGGACTTCTTCTCAAGCTCTCCAAAGATCTGGAGAAAAGGAAGCCATTCCAGGGTAGAAAATCTTCATGAGCAAAAGGTCAGACAGGGTAGAGCCCATCACAACACATGGTCCCCTTTGCCCTCTCCCCAACCAAGAAATGATAGTGGAGGAAAAGATATTGGCAGAATTTCTATGCATGTGGACCGTAAATGATAGGATACAAATTATATATATTAAGGAAATCTGCCTTTTAGGAAGATCCAGAAGTAACAACAAGGTGGTTTGGCAGCCATATGGACCTAAAGATAGATTTTGCTTACCCATCGATTCTTTTTTTTTTTTTTTTTTTTAACTGAATTAGAATGCCTTTCTCCAGTTCAATCACTGCCTTTACCATCCATTATTTTTTTCATCCCGCAAGTTTCACTGCTTGGTTACTGAAAACATATGAGTTGCAACCTCTGATTTCAGTCATAACATTCTTATAGATTCTTTTTTTTTTTTTTTAAAGATTTTATTTATTTGACAGAGAGAGAGAGACAGTGAGAGCAGGAACACAAGCAGGGGGAGTGGAAGAGGGAAACCAGGCTTTGCGCTGAGCAGGAGCCCAATGCAAGGTTTCGATCCCAGGACCCTGGGATCACAACCTGAGCCAAAGGCAGATGCTTAACCATCTGAGTCACCCAGGCACCCCATTCATATAGATTCTTAAGGAGAAAAACTTGTGGAACTTCTTGGGAAGTGAGAGGGGGCTGGCATGCATTTCTTTCTAGTCTCTTGCTCTTTAATGGGGCTATAGACCCAAGGCCCTTACATTAAGGATGCAATTGGTAACCTTGAGGAAAAAGATTTCTGCCCTGCCGAGGCCTTGAGAACAGAGAACCAATGAGCTCTAATTTCCTAGGGGCTCTGTAAGAATCTTTCTAATTCTCACCTGTAAAAAACACTCAGCGTCCATTCTTACCCTAACACTACCAATAGGTCCAAATACTGAATATGGAAAAGGCCACTCACTTTGTGCAGGTACCAACTTTTTGGAGAGTGAGGTGAAAATTAAAACAAGATCTGTAAACTAGAGAATTTTGTAAAATGAGGATTTTTTTTTTTTTCATGGAAACAGAGGTGGAATAGTAGTTACCAGGGGTTGGGAGAAGGACAAGGTGAGGGTATAGTTTAATGGGTACAGAGTTTCAGATATGCAAGGTGAAAAATTTCTAGAGCTCTGCTTCATAGCAATGTGAATATATGTAACACATTGTTGTTGACCACAAAGGGTACACTTAAAAATGGCTTAGATGGCAAATTTTATGTTTTGTGTTTTTGCCACAATAAAAAAAAAATGAATTCGTCTACTGTAAATTAACTCATTTGGTCCACAGAATTACTAAGTTAACAAATTTGCTCAGGGTTTCACCTTTGAAAATATCACAGAGTCCAAAGAAATCCTTGGAGAGGGAAAGAATCAGGAAGGGGCACAAACCTGGATGAAAGTCATTACATACCAGGAATTGGCTCTGGGACATACTGGAGAGCTAACTTCATTTCACCTCTGTTTTCCGCTTCAAGGGCAACCGGTGCTGTCTGGAAAATGAGGGCTGTTAGTAGGTATAAGACACAAACGACCTTACTGTTTGATGGTGCTCTGTTATGAGAGCATAACTGCCCCAATTATGCGACTATGTATTAACCATGCATGCCCTGGATTAAAATTTCCTTCCCCATCAGAGCTAAACTGTTGCTTTTATATCTGGGAAAGCTATGTTGTGTATCTTGGAAAAACTTGCTTGGTATCCAAAAAACAGCTCTTAGCCTTTAGTCTCACAAATAGTAGAGAAATCAGAATGGCTTTCTTGGGGAGAGGAGAAATGTTCTGGGATGCTTTGGTTTTTATTAAAACACACATTTTTTAATGGGTCGCCCAGCCAGCACATAAAACTATTTATTCGTATTATTCTCTTTGAGTAAGATGAATGTGGGAAAGTAGGGGGAAGAAAAGCCAAACATTACATTTTCAAAGCTGCATTAACCTGATTGAGATCACATGATGTGAGGTCTCTAAGAATAACAAAGACTGGACAATAATTTTAAAAACATATGTCTATTGTTTTCGAGTATAAGAGAGATGGTTTTATTTTCAGATTCTGGTCCTTTAGAGCCTTATTGTCAAAGCATGGTCATGCATCAGAAATGCAACTGACATTAGTTTAAAAGGAAAAGGTCTTGACATCTTCTAAGGAATTCACACCCAGTGAGTCTTGGGTAGGACTAGAAATAAGTGCTTCAGGTGATTTTGATGCAATATTTGGGAGCTATTTCTTGTCAAGGCTGTATTATGTAGATACTTAACAATGATTTGTATTGTTGCTATTTATGACTTCTAGCTAGGCTCATACTCACCCTCACACTGAGAATAATTTAAAAAACTGGATTAAACAAATTTATTGGAAGGAGCTGAAGAATTATTAATATAGACAGGACTCAAGTGGACAAAATCTTTGAGCCTGACATTCTCTGCTTTTCATGTTGAGGCATCAGCTATTTTTAAGTAGTGCCAAACTAGAAAAAAGCCTAATGAAAGAGACTAAGAAGCTCAAGCAGAGCTTTTGCCTGTCTTGTAGGGCTGGGGAGACAAAAATTGGAGTCCGCAGCCAGAAAGGAATAGTCTTAGAAAATACCCCTGATCAGCCGCTCTCAACGTATGGTCCCCAAGCCATACTCTACATCAGCAGTCAGCAATGCCTAGGAACTTCTTGGAAATGCATATTCTTGGGCCCAGATCTTATCAGCTCAGACACCTTGGGAATAGGGCCTGAAAATCTGTGCTCTAGTAAGTCCTTCAGTAGAACTGGATGGATGGTAAAATTTGAGAACTACTTCTCTAGGCTTTCACTTAGAACCTCTGAAGGGTCGTAGCCTAGGAATATGGGCAAGCAAAAACTACATTGGACCACATGAAAACTGAACCCCAGCTTCCAGTCAGTTCATTCTCAGATTAGATTGTCTATCCCTACTCTGTGTGTCAGAAACAAAAGAAAATTCTCTCAAAATATGCCTAAAGTTTTTAATATACAATGTCTAGTGTGCAATAAAAAATAAACAGGCATACCAGGATAAAGGACCAAATGACCAAACCAAGATAAAAAAATTAGATAAAAGAAACTTACAAATGTTTAAGATACTGGGTTTTCAGACATATACCTTAAATAACTTTGATTAACATAAAGATAGAGAATTTTAGCAGAGAAGTAGTCTATAAAAAATCAAATGAAAATATAAATCTGTAAAATATAATGTTGAGAACTTGTAAGATGGGTGTTTTAGACATAGCAGATAAGAAAATTATTAAACTGAAAGATAAGTTAGCAAAAACTAGCCAGCCTGAAATCTAGAGAGGAAAAAAGAAAAAGAATAGAAAATATCAGAAAGAGCATAACAGACATATGGTACAGGGGTGTCTGGGTGGCTCAGTCAGCTAAGCATTCCACTCTAGATTTTGGTTCAGGTTATGATCTCAGGGCCGTGAGATTGAGTCCTGTGTAGGGTTCCACACTGAGCGTGAAACCCGCTTAAGATTCTCTCTCTCCCCGACACTCTTAGCTCCACACACTTGCACAGGCTCTCTCTCTCTTTAAAAAAACAATAAAATAAAAAGCGAGAGAGACATATGGTACAAAGTGAAAAGATACAATTATCCCAAACTATGGATAACCATTATGAATTGAAATGCAATTATAGTAGCTTTCTCTTATACATTAGATCCCCAACCAGCCAACCAACCAATCAACCAAGTCTGCACATACCTTTCGCTTCAGAGGGTACCATTTCAATTGTTTATTTTGTTTGTTGTCCCAGTCCCAAGTTTCCAAGTCAAGTTCCACTTCCCCTAGAAAACTATTGCGCTTAAATGTATCCCGATGCCAAACGGAGAGGTTCAACTTTTGTGTTTTTAAGATTTGTTTTTCGATTTTATACTGCAGATCAAAGAAGGAAATTAAAGTGGTGAATATTACTATTTTATAACCAAAGTTATGACACAGAGATGAAGAGAAAAATCATCTGCGCAGATCAGGTTTTCTCATTTGTTAGGTTTCAAGTCTCAAAAACATTGCAAAGTCATCTTATTCTAAGTATTTTGTTTCAAAGCTCTAAATCCATCTTCCACAAAAGCTGATTTTCTTTCTGCTTCTGGAAAAGCAAATCACAGTTCAAATATCATAGCCAGTAATAGCTCTCTGAAAACAAAAGCCAACTATTCATTTTTGCTGGATGTTTTTAGTTCAAACTAGATATAACATAAACCCAATTCAGCCTAAAAACACTAATGAAGTTTAATCCTGTGGTCTGTTTTCTACCTAAGGACAAGGTATTTTTTCTAATAGACTCTATTTTTTAGAACAGTTTTAGATTTACAGCAAAATTAAGCAGAAAGTACAGAGAATTCCCATATACCACTTGCTCCCATTTACACACAACGTCTCCCACTATAGATATCCTGCAACAACAAGGTATTTTTTAAGAGAAGATATATTTGTTTTTTCCCACTTCATATGGTTAAGTGGAAAATATTTGGCATCCTTACAGTTTTTATCTAAAATACAGTCAATCCTAGATTATATATAATCATGGAAGGGATAATAGTACTTCTAATCTAAAAATAATCTCTATTTGGCTTTATGATGTACTACTTCAATATCCATTTTGGTTGTAGCGGGCTTGCCTTTCTCTGAGTTTACCAGTTAAATTAGCTAGCTTTTCCTGAGTATAGGGTTGAAGTAGCTGACCCAGAAATAGCTAGGGTACTGAGGTATATCATAGTCAAACTGTAATTAAAAAGTGGCTACAGAAAATCCATAAAAAACTGACCCATGAAGGACTGAAAATTAATTTAATTCTCTTTTCTCAGAGGATAATCAAATAGTGGGACAGACTTTTCAGACAGCGGAAATGAGGAACACTTTGTATATTTGTAGTTTTACATTATCATGACTAAGGCAGCCTTAAGTAGTCCGGGGGAAAAAGGAATATGGGTATTTGAGACAGGCATACTTTCTATGCATCTGTCCATCCATCTCTCCTTCCAATAAACATTTTTTTAGTATCTATCTAGACACTGTACTAAAGGTCAATGTTCATGTGTTTAATATATCCTAATCACTTTCCGCCTATTAACTCTTAATGTTCACAACTACTGAAGCACAGAGGCAGGTACTAATATTACCCGCTTTTGGCAGATCTGAAGAACAGACAGGTTAAGTCATTTGCCCAAAAGCACACAGCTGATAAATGACATGGAGTTGGTCCTTGTCCGCCTGCCTGGAACTTACAGTTTAATGGGAAAACAGACAATGAAGCCCGAAGTTAAAGCGCGGAGTGTTAACAAAGCCTTATATAAAACAAGGTGCCTGAGGCAGCAGACCCAGGGCAGGAATGGAGGGATTAAGGACAGCTTCTCACAGGAAGAGGCATTTAAGGCTGGAGGAAGTAGTTCAGGATAGAATGTAAGAAACAGTTCTTCAGTCTGATAGAACACCAGGTCCAGGAGTGTGAGAAAATGTGCTTCCTTCCTCCAAAGAACAGAAAGCAATCAGGGTGACCTGAACTGAGACTCTGAAAATGGAAAGAGGAGGCTAGAGCTTGGGTTGTGAAGGGACTGGTGGCATGGTAAAGTGGGACTTGCCTCTAAGGGCAATGGAAATCCTAAAAGATTGTAGGCAGAGCAATAACATGATCAGAATTACAATTTTGGTAGCTCTTTTAGTTTTAGAGGTCCATGTTTTCAGTTATGTATCTTCGAGCAAACTCCTTTGTTTCTCTAAGTCTCATGTATGAGGGGCACGTAATATACCCTCCTGGTGAGTATGGAGGGAGTGAGGGAGAGAAGGCATACAATGTTTATGGTGTATGGTCTCACACAAAGCAGTGTCTCAGAAGATGTTTATCCTTTCCCTTCTTCTCTCTCCCTGACTGACTTCATCTGTAGAGATACTACCCAAGAAGACACAGCTATTGACATAAAAATCACAGTGACAGCTCATCATTTAGGATTTTCCTAGGCAGACATTCATAGATACCCTCAGTATCTCGTTATACACAGGATTCAAAGTCTTCTTGACTACAAGTGTTTTCTTCTTGCCCATTTTGCCCTTGTCTGGTAACAAATAGGTCTTCACATATCTAAAAAGAGAAGTAGACAGACAAGAAGGTCAGAGAACATAAAAGTGATGTTTCTATCTCTGCCTTGAAAAATGCATTGGTAATTGACAGAAATAATTATTTCATGACAGTAAGAAGAGCAGTTAAGTAAAGAATGTTCTCAGCAACACCTTTTATACTTAAAACTGTAAACACATGCAACAGAACTGGTCATTTTATACTGTTTTGAAAAATTTTAAAGACTATTTCCTGAACCCTTTCTTCCTTTGGCCTTACCTGACATAGGGGGTGAGGCGGACAGACCTCTAATGTAGTGCTTAATTATACTGGTTTGTTTCCTATTGAGAAAAGGCTTCAGTGCTTGAAGAACTTATTTAAAAAGTATTGTTACTGGTTTTTGAAAACAAAAATTGATCTCAGCACACACATAAGCAAGCCATATTCAATGGGGGAGAAAAGGATACTGACCCCAGCTGTTTTGATAATGAAAGCATAAAGGATTGGGCCTATGCTAGCAAAATAACTAAGAATCTGACTTCTGCACAGGGAAAGCAAAGAATACCATTTAACTTTTGCAAATAAACTGAATTCAATTAAGTCTGTGATCCAAAAGATGAGCTGGTAATTCCCCCTAAAGTTCTTCTGTAAAATGTAATTTAAATTTAGAAACTACCTCATTCTAGAATCTTAACTGTTTCCACACCACTGAACATTCTCAAGTATGGCCTGACATGTCTCTAATTTTAGAGAAGTTTGAGAGTCATGGAAAGAGATTGGGGTTCAAGCCCTCATTCTCCATTTTGAAGCTGACTCTCTGAATTTATATAAATAGGTCATTTATCTTCTCTGGCCCTGGTTTCCTTATCTGTTAGAAGAATGAATGGGACAAGATGGCCTCAAAGGTCCCCTCCACTTGAAATATTTTCTGCTTCTCTGACATTTTTATAGCTTATTAAGTTTGGCATATTTATAGAGTAAATAAAACATCATTTCCCCCCAATTTTTCTTCTCAAACATTTCTTTTTGGCACAGTCACACACATACCCACTCTTTAATTTCTTTATTTCTCAATTTCTACAAGATTACGAATAACTGAGAGAAAACAGTGACTCCAAATTGTACTTACGGGTCTGAGCGCTGTTTTTTAACATCCGCTGCTGCTAAGTCTTTACACTGGGCCACAAAGACGTGTAACTCCTTCAGTGAGTCCACATAGTCGATTGCAAACTGAATATTTCCTTTCACTTCCAGATTGCCAAAGTCTCCACTGTAAACACTCATCACACTGCCGCTTACCTGAAGGCATCAGAAACATGCAGTGTTTTTTCCTATCTTGTTCATGGACCTAATGCAAGGATCACAAATATGATCTGGGCTTGCTCCTATGTCTCTCGTTTGCATTTAAAGCAGGTAATAGGGCATAAAGATAGACCAAAACCAACAACCTGACATGATATATGACACGACTAATGTTTTAAGAAAAAGTTGCCTGTAAAAGATACAGAGGACAAGTGAAAATGCAAAGTTATTTAGATGCTGGCTCATTTCCAAAGCAGGGGGATTTTATGGTAGGGGGCATTCAGAGTTCCATTTTTAGGCATGCTTAGTATTTAAGATCGTAAAGAAAGAGGATGTGAGAAACCCCAGGGACACAAATCACAGTGACACATTGCTCTATCAAATTTCCAAGACACTAAAAAGGAATCTTACTATGTTACCCATCCACTGAATCTAGGAGAATGCTTAGTGGGCCATACGCCTTCAGAGGTCAGGAAGGGTAAAGAATGGATGATTGATGAAGACGGTTGAAAGCCTTCCCAAGGCCATACATTTAAAGATCATCAGCAGAAATTCAATTTAAATAGATTTTTTTTTAAAGTTTGAAAAACGGCAGGCTAGTAAAAATTTAAGGGCAGCTTTATCATTTGGTTAGCATACCTTGTGAGATGGTGTGTATATCAGAGAACTATCTGGATAAGTGTATGTGGGTATATTTCATATATATATTTCTACACATATACTCCATGCACACGATGACCTCACGTTATGAAAGAAGTTCCAGGTAAAGTCAAATTTTCTACATTGAACCTGAACAACTATAGTTAAGGAGCTTTCCTTTTAAAATCCTATTGTGAGGGGCGCCTGGGTGGCTCAGTAGTTAAGCGTCTGCCTTTGGCTCAGGTCATGATCCCAGGGTCCTGGGATCCAGCCCCACATTGGGCTTCCTGCTAGGTGGGAAGCCTGCTTCTCCCTCTCTCACTCCCCCTGCTTGTGTTTCCTCTCTCACTGTGCCTTTCTTTGTCAAATCAATAGATACAAATCTTAAAAACATTAATAAAAATACAAATCCTGTTCTGAATCCTTCCATAAGGCAAAGAATCACTTCTATTCTTATGTGAATCAGTGCTTTTATTCATCAGGTTTGCCAAAAGACAGGCACAATTCTATACCTGCAAACAGAAATATAAAACATATCTGATACAAGTAGACTTTACAAAAGTTACCCCATTTGTTGCACGGAAAAATGTAGCCGTTCATCTTGTTAGAAATTCGGGTTTATTTTTGAAGTACTTACATTAAAAAAATTCATTTATAATGGATATGAACTCTTTTTGTGCTTAAAAAAAGAAAAACAAAGATTTAGCTAGCCAGAAGCTAATTGCAGTTTAGTGGCCAACAGGAGGCCACTTTATAGCAAGCATGGAGCATGGCAGAGCAAGGTTCAGAGAAGCGGAGAGATATTAACACAGAGGCTTTGTTTACATACAGAAGACAGGGACGTCATGCCAGAGGAGCTGCTAAGATTGGTTAAAGAGCTCGGACTCTTCTTGTGTCTGCTGAACTGGTAACTGCTCTCTGAGGCTGTATCTGTTTCTCTGTCATCACTCTACAAAACATCATATAAGATATACAAAATTTAAATTCAGAATGAGTGAAGGTCAGCATCTCTCCTTGGAAAAATGCGATACCTTGGTATCCCAGAGATCTATGAACATTTCTGAAGCTCAAAGGACACTCGTGCTAATCACCAGGAAACGGGAGTCGGGATGAAGTGGGTGGTCTATCGTGGACCTCACCTAAGGAGGACAGCAGGGCTTTGCTACCCAAAGAACAAAGTGATTTGTTTTTTACCTCCAAGGTGGGCCCAGGACGCTACAGAAGTCAGCACTGCTGCAAGCTTTCTTGTCACTCTCTTAATATTGTGCATTTCTGTTATGTGGAGAACTTTATTGATATATGTGAGAAATTAACTTTACCCAGACAACAAACGGTCTAAGATTTACTGTCAAAATATAAAATGTCATGCTTAATTCCTCTCATTATTAACACAGCCTTAACATCCCTAAAAATCAAATATTTTACTGGAGACACTATTAAACTAGAAAAAATAAATGCTAGTGTGACCTGTTTAAACTAAAAGTTATATGCACACAAATTTAAAAATTTTTAAATCACCTCTTATGTAATTCCATAGTGCTATTGTATTTATATTTTTTTTGCTATAGGGAAGTATATACTAAATTATATTTATTCAAGTATATTCAATTCTACCCACATTAGATTTTAATACATTTTTTGAAAAAAAAAAAAAAAAAGAAACAAAGGTACTTAAATATGTCCCAGGAAATATTTACCTAGTTCAAAAAAAAAAAAAAAAAAAAAAGGGAGAGCAATAATACATTTAATTATCTTTTAAATAATACAATTAATTATCTCAAGTTTACTAGATGTAGCTTTAAAAATCTATGATTCAGAATGAGCTCCTTTGGGGGTCAGAGGGTTTTTGGATCAGTTCAGTGGAGTTAGAGAAATACCTTTATGGAGGAGTTAGTACATGCCAACATCTCCCAGGGCCATGCAATTATGTATCATAAAACAGATGCCAATTCTAATGCAGATTAAGGAAGGAGTTAAAGAAAAATAAAATGTATCACTTATATGGATAAGAAACCCTCCCTCAAGGATTAAAAAAACCCACACCACCATGTGTCCATCATCACCTTCTCTCCCTACATGCTGACAGCACGTGCTGTTTCCCTCTATTTCAGCATGTACCATGCTCTGCCTAGTGTATCAGGACACTAGTAAATTACTGAGGGATGGGATCCTGTCTTGTTGAACTGGAACGCCGATTTCCACGTAGCAGGAACTCAACAAACGAGACTGATGCTAAGCCTCGAAGAGAGAGTGGATGGAGGAGCAAGGCCTGGTTCATGTCCATTTCCTTTAACATTCAGTCTGACCCACGTGCTTTGAAAGGTAAAATTCTACAGCTTCATTTGGCATCTCTGATACACAAACTCAATGTGGACTTTCTATTGTGTGGAGCTATGAGGGGGCATATTAAATGATGGAGGAGAAAAATGGAAGACCAGGAACTGGGGTCGCTTGCCTCTTAAGTAATTACACACCTCGTTCATATGACCAACCAAGATCAAAGCCTATTTACAAAAGTGTGAAAGCAGGAACTCATTGAGGCCGCCTACTGTTGGCTTCCAACTAATGATTTAGTTTCAAAGAATGAGTGATTCGTTTCAAAGGAACTGTAACCTGGGCTGGTAAGCATATGGAAGGGTATGCATTTGCAGATATAGCTCCTCTAAGGCCCAAGGATAGACAGAGGGTTGCCCGGGAGGTCAGGGAGGTGGTACCTGATTTGTGTGCTGTCTAGAACTTTCTTCACCTTTCATCTACTAAAAGAATGTTTGAGGATAATGCTTTTTCCTTACTCTCAAAAATCAGACCCAAATTGCAAATAGTAAGGGCTAGGATTTACTGGTATTCACCATGTGTCAGGCACTCCGCCGTATGTTTCCCCCACATTATCTTGCTGACTCCTCATAGCCTAATGAGACAGGACTAGGAAACCAGATTCAGGGACATTAAGGAACTCGCCTGGAGTCACACACACCAAATTAGTAGCACAGCCAGCGCTAGGAATGTCTGACTCCAAGATCCTAACTACTCTGGCTAGAACACGGAATTTTAAAAAAACTTTTTTTTGCTTTTTAAGTTTTTATTTAATTCTGATTAGTTAACATCCAGTGTTATATTAGTTTCAGGTGTTCAATATAGTGATTCAACAATTCCATACATCACCCGGGGCTCATCACAAGTGCACTCCTTCCCCATCCCTCCACCCACAACATGGAATCTTAATTAAGTCAAAGGACCTGAGTTAAAGTCCTAGATCTACTTCTTAGCAGCTGTTGGATTTGGGGGAAATTGGTTTAACCTCTCTCAAGCACTTCCCACTTATAAAAAATGGAGAAAATTGTACCAACCACGTTTAGTTGGTGAGAGTTAGATGTCAGAACGAATATTAAGTGTCTGGTGTTTACAAAGTACTGAGTGAATAGCAAGATAATAATCCTGTTCCAGCCCGAGACAGCAGGTATAATGGCTAACCATGATAATCAGATGCAGACTCCATCCTGGTTCGACCCCTTTCTAGCGGAGTGAGGTTACTCACCTCTCGCAGTGCCTCCTTATCTGTAATACCTGGTAACAATGATGGTGCCTACCTTCCAGGCACGTTGGACGATGAAATGAGATAATGTATGTCAACTGCCTACACCCAACAGATATCCTTAAAGTCTGTTGTGTCCTTGTCACTTCACTACTTTAACAAATGCTTCCAAGCTATTCATGCTACCTAGATGAAGCTCTCACAGATCAGCTCTACTGGAAACTACAGAGTGGTTAGCTCACACCAACATATTTCTGCCTGGATTTCTTATTTTGTACCCACTTTGAAACAAAAGTCACATTCCAAATATCAATGCAACTTGACTTCACCACCAAAATGAGTTACTGTTCGAGTCAAATGAGACATGCCTTGCCTTGTTCCAGGATCAACAACACTGCCTCTATTGATAGGAAAAGCAGGGGTCAGTCCCGCTGACCTCTTTGGTCTCTGCCACCGCTGAATACAAACACACCAACCTTGGCATAGCAAATGCACCTATGTGGTTCAATTTTTCTGAAATTACAGAAGACAAACTTGCCTCATCTTGAAGAAATGCTGGAACGGACTTGCTCATCCTTTTGAGTTTGTCAGGGTGGGAAAATGGATTATCAAGTTGTGAAGGCACTGTGGAAACTAAACAGCAGCATTTCCATTCAAAATTATCCTCACATTATCAAACAAACATAAAGCATAAGTTGAAAACACTTTTCTTTCATCTATGAACGAGATATTTTTGCAAAAAGGTTAAAGGTACAATAGTTCACATGCACAGGATAAGATAAGCAACATGCAGTTTTCATAAATTATACAGAGAACTGGCAAGGAGTTGAACCAATAGAAAATAACAATTAAAGACCATTAGTTTTCATTAATCTGGAGCTGGATTTGAATTATATTAAAACATACTGCCATTGTGAAAGGGCACTCACTTATTTCCCACACCAGAGATTGGAACCACAAGATGTGTGATTTATTGGTTCATCTCCTTGGAATGTATTTTTAAAACATGCCACAGGCTGGAAAACTATTTCATTGGACAGCAAGGATCTCCGGACACAACTCAATCATAACAGTGTCCTGGCTATTGAGTGTGGAAGGGAAGGCTTGTTTGTTCAGTGATTGTGGGGATTACTTCTCTGATAATGTTTCTCACTCAGAATTATGAAAGACTATGAGCTCAAACTATTTATCTTTTGAAAACAGATTATTTAGATACTTTTGTGATAGAAAGGTATCAGATACCTTATTTAGATACCTTTCGATACAGTAAGAATATGTGTGGAAGTCACAATGAGATGATGAATTCTATTCCTCATTTGCATAACTCTAGTTAGAAACCTATTTCCTTCTTTACCTAAAAATTGGTGTCTAAGTTTTTCTTATGGTGAATAAGAGCTTGCATAGTGAATGAGTTAGTATGTTTCAAGGCCCTTAGAACAGTGCCCAGCACAGAGCATGCTCTATATAATTATGTGCTAAAAATTAATATTATCTGATAATGTTTAAATTACCTTTTCGATGTGATACAAATATACTGTCTTGGTTTTTACCAGTGAAACAGATACCAGAAAAATAGATAAAAATAAAATTATATTTCTATATATAACTCAAGAGGCTCAAATTCAGCCCTAAGCATTAGCTAAATTCACCTTCAGTTAAAAGAAAATTAATGAAGGAAAACTGAAAATTGAACTATACATATAAATATTTGTTTATTCACATAGTAGTTCTCATCTAGCCTTTGGCTCTCAAATGTATCAAAATCCACTCACAAGATGATACCTGCTTTAATCACTACCCATTAAACAGTAATGTGTATGTGGGTATATTTGGGTGACTTGCACTGCAGGAGTATAAGGTTAGGTCCCATGAGTCCACAGTAGAGCCCAATGAGTATGCAAAAACTTTTTATCATAGTACTGCTGCCTATTATTTTCAAAATGTATATCTGCTACTCAAATGTAGTCAGTTTTACAAATATTAGTCTCTAGTAATTTATGTCTTGATCATGTATTTCAATTTTGTTTTGTGGTAAAAATACACTCTTCAGTAGAGGAAAGAAGTAATCTCAGCCCATCCATTAAGAGTCATCTTGGAAAATACCATAAAAAAGAGAGAAATTAATCCACCCAGAATTCAGCACATGATAGCCTATGTGGCCTGACCTAACTAAGCTCAGTCATGAGCAAAGACACAGATACATTGGCATATATGTCCATGTCCACGCATTGTTTTCACTCCTCGGGCTAAATGTTGAACAAAACCTAACCAGATAAAAACAAGATGACCAAACTTGAGTATCTGCCAGTTCAAAAGCAACTGGAGAAACCTCTGTACCCAACAGCCCCGAGGGACACAAGTCTTGGCTCCTCTGCAGCAGCTGGGCAGAGAACATGCAACAGGGACCGAAACCTGGATTGTCTTTTTGCCTATGTACTTCTTCAGAACTGCTCAGGTCATGGGCCAAAGCTCAGCACCTTCACCTCTAGCAGGCAGACCTCATGAGCAAAGTTTCAGATTTCAGGCTAGATGTCACAGTCTTCTAGCAAAAGCACCTTGTTTCTCTATCAAATGGCTCCTTCATTTAGCTGCTCTTCTCATTAAGACGTATTAGCACATCCAGACTATTGGGCAACTATTAATATAAATCTCGTGCTCTCCTAAGGGCAGACATGTGTATCATTATCTTCATACCTCCAGCGCCCAGCATTATGCAACTGGGCTGAAACTGGGAAGCTAAGAAGACACACACGCATATCTGCATGCTTTGCTGGGCCCCATAGACACCTTTTTTAATGTGCTATTTGTCCTGGAGACAGAAGTCAGTGTTAAGTACAGCAATCTTAAGATTGAGCAGAAAAGAGTAAACGATCATTATCTTTGGCTGGTGGTGAGTTTAATTAGTGGATGGACATTAGCCACCGCAAGTATATACTTATTTCTTAAGATTCAGATGTTCACTTGCTTTATAGATTGAATATAGACTGAATCCTGCTTTGAACCTCAGAGCTTAAACCCTGGACATGATACAATTGGCTTCCATAGGTATGGAAAGAGGCATACACAACCATAATGCACACTAACTGTAAAAGCACAATTCTTTCTTAGGTCCAAATACATTATAAATTGTTTCATGTCTACAGTCTTATGTAAAGGCCACAAGAAATCCAGTACTCGAGACCAGACTGCAACATAAAGCCAAGTGATAACAGAAGGTGCCAACTTCATTTTAAGAAAAGACTCAAAGGGCAGAGAGCCTTACAGAAGTATAATACTACCCAGCAATTACACATATATATTTATATATAGTACATATATATGTCTGCATAAAAAATTTTTAAATATGTAACTCCCCCATAGCGAAACCACGGATTAATCTTTCAACACTGGCAGCAGGAAAATGTTTTTTCATAAAACCCTTGTCAGAATGAAATAGTTTTGTAAGCTGCAAGAGTTTTAGTACCAATAACAAATACTGCGTGATTAATAGTGTTAGTTATTTCAGTATATTTAACACCATGTAAAGTGGCAACATTTAGTCATTTGTGAGAAAGATCCTGCTACTCACTTCCTGGTATGCACTCATTTGTGTCTGGTTCCTGATCTGCTTTTTGATCTACTCAGAAAAGCAACATTGAGAATAAATACCATTTTACAAGAAGGATTAAAGAGACATGAAAGTAAGGCTCACATGTCAGTTTCACAACAGAGACTGCAGAATACATCTGACAGGTTTTCAGCTTGCTTTTATCTGTTCCCCAGAGTGACTCTTCATTACCTCCTTTAGGGGTCTTCTATTCAACTAAAAATCCAACATCCAGTATAGGAGATGTCTGGCATCTTTCTACTAAGTCACTGAGCCACACATAGCTTGGGGGATGGAAGGAGCACTGCATTAGGAATAACAAAGCTGCACTTCTAGTTGCTACCACCCCCTCAACTCCTGCCCCCACTGACCAACTAGCTATAGGATCTTGGACAAGTCACCTCATTTCTCTGAGCTTTTCTTATCTGCAAATGAAAATCCCTGCCCCACCTACTTCCACGAAGTTGTTGTAAGCATAAAATGAGAGAGACAAAACTATGACACAAAAGTAATCAATGACCTTTGAGGAGTTCTAGTGCTACATTTTATGGGGGAAGCTTAGTTCATAGACATTTTTTATTATTATAGTAAAGGGAATTTAGAAAACACAATTCCGGTGTACAAATATAAATTACACATTTGCATAAATGCTCAACTATAAAAATCAGACTCATTTCCATCCCTTCCCCCACTATACCACTATTACCCTGTATATTTTATAAGTGAACCACGTAATACTCAATCCACTGACAAACTTCAAGATCTTCTAGGCTCCTTAATATTCAGAACCAGTTAATTTTACCTCAGTCTATATTTAGCTATTTAAATGAGCCAAGGCAGGATCCTGACTCTGGTTCTGGGACTCTTCCCTTTGAAGTTAAAGCTTTACCAGGTATGCCCAGAGAGCTCCAAATGCTGAGACATGAGAAAAATACAGGAATAACTTAACCCAGAACCCACCCGATGCTTCCTGCCCTCACAAGGAGTTCTGCAAGTCAGAGTAGCAAAAATCAGCTCATACCCATAGAAATACAATTTCCTATTTATAGAAACCCTCGCTTCCCAAAGGTCTCTGATGCGATCCTTACAACAGTATCACCAGCAGAAGACTTGAGAATATAAACAGTTAGTATTAAATGCATCGAGTCAGAACCATTTTATAATAACTTAGGCACCATTCATTACATAGTGGCAAATGACGTTCTTCTATTTATCCAACAGCTGTGTCCCAGTGACTGCCCAAACCGCCCCAGAACCTAATATACAGACAGACATGCAAATACATAAAGATATTTACCATCTTCAGCACTACGTACTAATTCTTCTGGCAGATTATCTACTTTTGCTTGATCTGTTCAGGAGAAATTAACAAATGGTTAACACGGCTGACCCTTGGCGAGAGAGAACAATGAGACTGTCCCTGGAAGCCCCCGGAGTTGGAAGCAATTAGTCAAGATGCAGTGAGGGGTGCAACCAAGATGTCTTCCCCAAAATACTTTCTCTTTAGATTAGCTACTTGAACCAGTGCCATAGCGGGAGCTCCCATTTCAGCCCCGATGCAGCTTACATCAGCACACTGCTGCACACAGACTCCCCAGGGTTAGAGGGTTAGCTAAGAGCAAGCAATCGGCCAGCAGCAGGAGAAAACACAGGGCGGCAACAGCCTCTCTATTCTTCTGGAAAGAGTAAGATGCTAGCCATGACTAACACCTTCTCAAACCCATGGTCATTAGCAAATATTTCTGTGCATACATCATCGTTTGTGTATGCCTCTGGGAGCCTTGCTTGGGAAGTCAACTGAAGAGATGTAACTGGGGACCAGCTGCTAAGTGGAATCTTGGCAGGCTAGTGTGAGAGTGGGTATCGGTATTTGGAAGGGAGCGTGCAGGAATACCCGTCAGCTGATGGTGATTTTTTTTTTTAACCCTGCACATTCCTGAGTATTTTAAAGCTGCACCGTGGAAATAGCCCCATGCTTCACAGGCAAGAGGTTTGCCAAACTGGACAGTTTTTGCTGATTTTTGTTTTTTGGGTCCCCCCCACCTCGGGACCCATCTCCAACATCAGGAAGAACAATTAGGGCGGTCCAACAAAGGGCAGGATTCGCTTTCTGTGGGAGCATTCAGGCGGATGTGGGGAGGTTGGCCACCTGTTGAGGAGGCTTTATAGGGAATTCCTGCATTGGGAGGTGTTTAAAATGGATGACCTTCAAGGTCACTTCCAACCCTGAGATTCCAAGATCTCTGGTAGATCTGCATTCCAAAATGGGAATACTGTCCTCAGAGCCCTGAAAATCTCTGATTTTTAGGAATTATTTAATAGAGTGGCTTTCCCCCCTTTCTTTTTAAATTCTGACTTTTTAGTTTCAAATGCAGATAGCTGAAGCATATTCTAAACATGACAATGTTCAACTTTCAAGCATATGAGTGTGGCAGTGATCAACTTTCATTCAGTAACTTTTCTCATGACCCTCTGCACTCCCAGGGGTGCCTCTTAGCTTAAAAACGATTAAGAGCAAACCCTCTAGAAGTCAGGACTTCTCAGTCAACTTGCAAGCCATACATATGTGTGTGTGTGTGTGTGTGTGTGTGTGTGTGTGTATAATGCTTTATATTAGTACTCAAGAAGTCCTTCACCAATTACAGCAGCAGCTGGGGGGTACAGTGCGCCTAATGTGTTGCAGGCCAAGTAGTCTTTGGGCTTCTAGTTCCAATATACAAAAGAAATGTGTGAAAAGAAGGGATAAAAGAAAAAGGACAGTCCTTGAAGCTAGGGACCGACTCATCTCCGTATCATGCAAAACTCATCAGACATCCAACACTGTCATATATAAGACGGTCACCTCATAAATGTTCTTGATAGCAGACTATTGATTCGGATTCACAGCTCTGCTGTGTGACACTAAACAAGGTACTTTACCTCTCTGAGCTTCATTTGCCTCATCTGTAAAATAGGAATAACCATCATCTCTCGCAGGGTTCTGTACGCCAGTTACATGAAATAATGCATGTGAAATACTTAGGCACGTCTTGGCACACAGTGCTCAATAAAGGTTAGCTATTCCTACTAGAACCACCAGCTACCCCAGTCTTTTAAAACTCACTGGACTTGAAATGCTTGAGCTGGGGTTCTTCAATCCAAGGAAACCTAGTGTTCTAATAACCAAACCTCAGGCACTATTTTGAAGGTTCTAGTCACTGTAGGATGAGCTTCTTCTGCTCACTCTGGAAAGGTTACGGTCATCTGTTAACCCCCGCCTCAGGGGCTTCAGTGCACGAAAGCATGCAGTGAGGCCACAGAAAAGCACATGAGCATTTTAAAGTTTAGACGGGGGGGCGTGAACAATGGGGCAACCTTTATTCTCACTTGGTGAATCTGACGAAATGTCTTCTAGACTTTTGGAAGGCATTTTCCTAGCAGCACTCCTTTCCAAAGTTTTCAAGACAGGACTGGGTTCTTCTTCTGAACCTGTTACGAGACAAAATTGTTGAACACTGCGCAATACAAAAAAGATCCAAAAAATCCTAACTCTTAATAACCAATGGACGTTGGTGTTGTAGGTGGAGATTCAGAAGCCTCTGTACTTTTATTTACTCTATGAAACACTTCTCAGGGAAAAAAATGCAAAATTTCTCCACTCTTTGCAGATCCTTTAAAAACCATTTTCCTAGTCAAGAAGTATTTGCAAGCATAAATCATAAAGGAACAAGATAACCACATGAATAGAAAAGTGATCTCTGAGCCATCTACACCTCTATTTTAGGCCCATGATTTGTTCTATGCCAGACTTTGAATCTTTCCACTTCACTTCTAGCTTTTGAAGACAACCACAAAGTGGTTTTAGGAGCATTAAAACAATTAGCTGAAAACCATAGAAGGCAGGATTCAGATGTTTAACATCTGTGTATAATCAGGTACACAGATGGGCGAATTCTCCAAATCAACGATTGCAGGCCCTTGGGGATTCATGAGCTAGTAAAATTTCCAACAAAATGTTGGGAAATGACACGAGGTAGTCAGCTTTTTATTTTATTATGTCATTTTAAAGTGTGTAGGTGGGGGGGCGCCTGGGTGGCTCAGTGGGTTAAGCCACTGCCTTCGGCTCAGGTCATGATCTCAGGGTCCTGGGATCGAGTCCTGCATCGGGCTCTCTGCTCAGCGGGGAGCCCGCTTCCCTCTCTCTCTCTCTCTCTGCCTGCCTCTCCGACTACTTGTGATCTCTCTCTGTCAAATAAATAAATAAAATCTTTAAAAAAAAATAAAGTGTGTAGGGGGGTTCTATCATGTTCTAATAACTACATATTTTTTTTTAAAAAGTCATGTTAGAAAAAAAAAAAAAAGGCATGTTAGGACCAAAGGAAAAAAGAGGGGGGGCATATCCTCAAAATAAGGGCAGTCTTTTAAATTAAATATATCTAATGTTACAAAAAAATATCTCTAGATACCTTAACTTTTTCATTTTGACAGTTAAAACTCCATCATGGATTAGCTCTGGTCTGAATATGGTCATTCATCACTGTTACATTATTAGTGCCTAGAACAGTGGCTGGCAATAGGCACTTCAAAAATGTTTGCTAGGGGTGCCTGGCTGGCTCAGCTGATACAGCATGTGACTCTTGATTTCAGGGTCATGAGTTCAAGCCCCATGTTGGGCAAGGAGCCTACTTTAAAAAAAAAAAAAAAAGAAGAAGAAGTTGCTAAATCAATGAATGATTCCATTAATGAGTCAATGAATTTGGGAACCACTTCTACACACAATGCTTTCCTGAAATGCATCCCAGTTCTCCCCAATGTTAATAGGCATTCTAGAGCAAATGGATTCTAAGATGAATTGGATTTGGGATGCTCTTTGTTCCAATTTAAAGGTTTCTTACTATAGATCTTCTTGGAGACATTAATATGCTAATAATGTGCATAATTTCCCAGCACATTAAGTACCTGACCATGGAACATTTTTTTTTTAATTTTTAAGGAACATATTGAGGTATTGGTTGAATAAGAGCTCAGCCCTAAGTGAAACATGTTAGGTTGCTCACCAAAATCATGGTACCATTGTAAGCAAGTTCCTCCCTCCTCCAGTCCACCACCAGCCAATTGTTTAAAAATAAAAATTTAGGTTAGAGTATATAAAACTACAGTTGTACCATTTTGTACCTCTTATTGGCTTGTAACTTTTAAATATCTTCTCTGAGCTCTGCCTGGGTGGTTATTTAATACTGATGATTTCATTTTTAGACAGGCTTTTTACTATTCAATCAGTTATGCTGATACCCTATAAACAAAGCTATATACATCAGGGGTAAGTCTCCAGAGTAAGTACAAATGTACAAGCTCTCCTGTAGGTCGGTCTACCCTCCTCACTCACGGGTGGTTTAGTGAAAGTCTACTTCAGCAAGTTGAACATGGTCATGTATACTCCTGTTTCAGAGACTGATATTCCACTTTTCCTCTTCTTACCAGCAACCTTTGTAACAGGGGCTTCAATCGATTAATCAGGATTAAAGTTGGATCCTTTGGTTCGTTTTCAAGAAGAGACCCTATAGTTACTTGCAAAGGAAACCAAACCTCCCGAGTCATCCACTCAGGAAAGCTTATTCATTCTCCTCAATACTGAGGAGTACTAGAAAATGACAAATTTTCTAAACTGCTAGGAGGATGACCGACACCAGCTGTTTTGCAACTGTGGTTAAAATGTCCCAGCCAGAAGGCATCTATTATCATTCATCCCTATAATTGGGTAGTTGTGCATTCCTATTTGCTTCTGGGTTTCTCTGCTAAAATGCCCATGTTGATCACCATAGCAAACTGAGACAAGGCCTGTAGCTCCCAGCCTGGCTGAAACCAATACCCCGAAGCCCACTTAGATGGATGTGGTAATCGAGTAAGTTCTTCATTCACCTAGCCAAGGCTGGAGCCAAAGAAATGCAGCCAGCCAGGCGATGCCCTCAGGTGGTGTCAGATGAAGTCATCTGACCAAAGTCATACTCTAGAGAAGATTCTGCGGAAGATTCTGCAGATTTCTGCAGATAACTGAAAACAAGAGGAAAAGGGTGGCAACAAAACACCACAGCAAAGTTTTCTGAGGAAAGAAGGTTCTAGTCTTGCCCTCTGTTTCTGGAATTTAGCCACTACTGTGGTAAAATATTCATCCTAAAAGGGAAATTTGTGTCCATTTGTGTGTGGCACTTTCTTGCCACAAATCTTACTAGAGACTTCTGTGTGGACTGTCAATTAAGAAAAAAAATTATTTCCAGGATAAATTATTTCTAGGAGAAAAACTGGCTTGAACGTTTCAGAAGTGCTTTCTAAACCCAAAATTAAAAAAAAAAAAAAAACTCTTAAAACCTAACAATTCTGTTACTGAGAATAAAGTCAGATTCTGAAACACTCCCTCATGGGTAAAACTTCTCTATGTAATGCATTGACTAAAGAATATAAAAGGAAATGTAGCTTTTTATTAAGAAAGGCTAGGAAGACCTAAAATGATAAGAATTTACCACTATTTCCGTGTGTCAGTTTTTAAAACCGTATCATCTTTTACATCAGCATTCCCTAAATCATTTCATTAAACCAATGAGTTAAAAAATTCAGAATGCTCACTGGAGGTTTTTCTCCAGCTGTCTGCATTGGAACTCAAGTCTCCACCTGAAAAATCAGAGTCAGAGAAACCTCCTTTTTCTTCTTCTTTCTCTATTCTCTTACATGGCGATGCCAGAATCAATTCGACATTACTTGTTTCTGGAGGGTTTTCTCTGTTTGTCAGGAGAGGAATGAGTTGCCTACGTTTGGATACACTAATTGCTTTAGGAGCCTCTTCTAAGCCAGGCTCCTGAGAAGACTTTTCTCGAACCCCTGCAACCTCACTTTCACTCTCCCTGTCCTCTGCGGGGTTTATAGTTTTAGTGATCCCTATTTCACATTCCACACAGAACTGCGGGGTTCCAGGGATCTCAACCCAACTTTCAGAACCACAAAGATCTACTGATAAATCAGTCACACCTTTGTTACCTCCCAGCACTTCATCACACTGGTTGACTTGTGATTGGAAAACATTACTCTTAAACTTCATTTCAGAGGTCTCTGAGGCTGTCCGGTCAAGATGGGTTACTGTCCTCAAGAAACTGGCCTGCTCTGACTGGGAAGCCTCCTTCTCAGGAGTTTCTTCCTTCACTGACACCTGGAGCTGGTAAGGAGGAGCTTCAGTTGTTTCTCTAAAAAGTTTCTCAAAACCAATTTCAAAAGCACTCTCCGTTCTTGATGGAGCCTCAGACTTTTTTACTGTTTCTCTGATTTCCTCAGGATGGAATTCAGAAGCAGCTTGCCTGGACACCTCAGTCCCACCTGTTAACTTTGATGGAGAAAGAGTCCCTGGGTCACTTTCGTATTTTGAGGAGGGGGTTTCAGCTGCTTCCTTCAGTAGTTTTTCTAAGCCAGCACTGAATTCTAGGAACTCTGATTTAGGCTGAATAACTGTTTCCCTCACAATTTCTGCCACTTCCTGAGGTAACTCTTTGCCGCACTGAGTATCAGGGGAATCACATGAGCGACGGGTTTGCTCTGATGGAGGCACTTGGGCAGCTAAATAAGATCCAGCATTCTGAGTTTTATCAGGGACTACATTGAAGGAACAAAAATAATCTCTGTCTGGAACTGTAACGTCCATTGTAGCCCCTGGTGTAGAATTTGGGGGGCTACCTGCTGCCTGGACTCCTTCAGGAAATTCTGCTTTTACTTCCCCAGGCACTACTACCCTCCCCACTGGATAGCAAGCTTCTCTCAGCAGCTTTTGTAATACAGCGTTTATATCTTTCAAGGCAGGTTTAGGTGGAAGAATGACTTTTTCTACAGTCTCTGAAATTTCCCTTCGTGAAGGTAATGCCTCATCCTGGGGAGCCAGATGAGCATCCCTGAAAGAAGGCCTCTCTTGGGGAGAGTTGGCCACATTCCCAAAAGAATCTTTTCTGTAAAGATGGGAAGGCGGACCCAATGGGTGAGAACCTTCCGCAGCTACCTGACACCCATTCTCCGCGCTTGGCTGGCATTCGCCACTTCCAGATTTCTGGGAGATAGCTGTATTTACCAAAGTTTCGCTTCCCTTTGGAAAAGGAGCTATTAGCTCTTTCTGATAGGCTGATGTGCTGTGACTCCATTCTGTCCCTTCTATCCCTTTTTTATAAACTCTACCCTCTTCAGGTTCAGAGTTGATCCTAGTGGTAACAGGTTCCAACACACTTGGCAAGGCACAGGGTGAAGTTCCAGTAGCTTCCTTTAGGAGTTTGTCTAGACTAGCAGTCAAAGTGTTCGGCTTAACTTTTGGAGGAGCTACTGTTTTGTCTACATGCTCATAAATGCTCTCCTTATGTCCTTTGTCTTCTCTCTCAGTCTCAGCAAAATCTGTATCTTGAGGCCATGTTTTATTTCTGGAAATATCTGGTTCAGACTTTTGTTTTCCATGAACTTTTCCACCCGAAGGATGCATGGCTAGTGATGAAGCTTCTGAAAGTAGCTTCTGTAAGCTGTCATTAAAAGTGTCTTTGTAGTCTTTAGACAAAGCACTTGTTTTAACTATGGATTCTTGAACCTCTTGGTCTGAGTAATCCTTTTCTTCCTTGAACACTGGTGTAACAAACCATTTAATATTCTTTCCCACATTTTCCTTTGATGACTCGTTTCCTGGCAAATGATGAGTAGACTTTCTGGATGGTCCCAATGGAAATGTGGTTTCATCTGGTAACACCTGGAGTGTATGCTTTGAATTTAATTTCTCTATTTCCTCTCTTGCCAGAATTTTTTTTTTACCTGGAAGCATCCCTGTTTCATGGATATTCTTTCCTGATGATTTGATGTCACTGAATTGTTTGTGTTTCTGGCTATAAAAAGGCTCCACATATTTTTGGCTTACTGTGTTCGTATTCTTCCCAACATTTTCTTGACTGTTTGGATTGGCTCCTAAGTCCCAAAACTTTCTCAAATTCTCAAATTGAGAGTGATTATAGACCTGTTCTGTATTGGGTTCATCCATTCTCTTTTTTAGGGACATAACTTTAAAGTTGGGATTTGATTCACCGATTAGAGGTTTGTCTTTCTCCAAAGGCGAGTGTGCTGCACTCCCAATATTCAAAGAATGTTGCCAAGCCGGTAAAGTACTGTCCCTTTCATAATGGCAACTCTCTGCCACTGGCGATCTTTTTATGTGCTCATTTATCTTATTCTGAAATGGAGACACTTCACCTGATTGGTCAACAGAAGGATAGTTTTTGGATGGACCTGATATCTGGGGTCTGGTTTCTTCAGGTTTATTTGAGGAATAAAAACTGGAGAGATGGGCTGTGTGGCCATTCTCATCTAGGACCACTTGTCTGCTAGTGGTTTGATTATATTCACTCTGGCCTGTAGATAAACTGTCCATGGACTTCACAGGCTGATATTCTTTAGCAGGAGGTTTCCCTTGACAGCATGACGATGTGGGTTCTTTATGAGCTAACTTAGCAGCAGCTTTCTCGCCTTCCCAGAAAGATATTCTTTCACTTACTCTTTTGTATTTTTCTCTTTGCACTTGGTTCTTGGGAACCTCAGCAGTTTCTTGTAACTGGACCTCAGGCTTCTTCCAAGATTTGTTTTTGGTAGCCCCATGTAGTGACTCAATATTCTCTGTCTCTAAAGGAGTTTTCAGGATGCATGGATCTCCTCCTTTGCTCTCTCGCTCTGCATTCATGTTCTCTTTCAAACTTGGTTCTTTGACAAGTGTTGAAGAGTCAAAATTCACTTCTGAGTTTCTTCTATTTTTTTCATGAACATGAAGCTTAGGCTCTTCTTCACTTAAGCTGCCAACATTCTTAATGTTGCATGGAACCTGGTCTTCTCTCTCAGATCCTTTGATAGCACTGTAGGGATAGTTACTGTTTGGGGAAAGTGCCCAGTTTCCTTCTCCTCTGTTTTTTAAACCATGGCTAGAATCCATAGTTTTATTCCCTTGATGTGGGCCATAGATTTCACATGGTTGTAATATGCCTGGATCTTCCTTGCCTTGTTGGGACAAAATAATGGATTTGAGATTGATATTCACATTATTATTTTGGCAAGTTCTAGAAGGCAATGTATTTCCCTTTCCCTGGAATGGTGAATCAGATTCCATAGACATCAGTTTAACTTTGGTGGGTAATAGAGCCTTTGAGCCATTTTCTTTTAGAATGGTGTCATCTCTCACCAAGGCAGTAGCAATCGGTGATTCTGAGTCTATCTCTTCCTTCAGCTCTATTCTTTGGGGATGTTGGAGAGGTGACTTATTGTCTTCTGAATGAGAACTTCGATTAAACCAGTCTAGAACTTTAGATATGGAATCATTAGTTGTCTTCCTTATCTCAGTGGCAAATGGACCAGAATGGGAGGACGTCCTAGTTTTTAGAGCCTTGAGAAGAGGGGGCTTACCTTGCTGACGGTCTCTAGAACTGTGATCTGGCACCTGAAATGGCTCAGGCTCAACACAAGACAGTCCGTCTGCAACACAGAAATGCTTTTCTAAATAAGGAAAGAGAATGCTCAAGGAATTATTATTCAGGGGTACCTGAGTGTCTCAGCCATTAAGCCTCTGCCTTGGGCTCCGGTCATGGGATAGAGCCCCCACTGAGCAAGAAGCCTACTTCTCCCTCTCCCACTCCCCTTGCTTGTGTTCCCTCTCTTGCTGTTTGTCAAATAAATAAAAATTTTTTTAAAAAGAATTATTATTAATCACTCACATTATCTTTTAAATAGGCACTTTGTATTTATACTTTCCATACCATTAACTGTTTCTATCAGCATTTTTCAGAGGCTATAATATAAACCATCCTAATTAAGATATGCTACTAGAGTTGCTCTGACAGTAAAGGCAGGTAAATGTAGACTTCTGAGGTATGGGGTATGGACCTAATTGAGAAATTCTTCTGAAGTCTCTGATTTATTCTGAAAATTCATATGGGGGCATCTGGCTGGCTTGGTCAGTAGAGCATGCAACATTTGATCTCAGGGTCAAGAGTTCAAGCCCCACGTGGGGTGTAGAGCTTACTTAAAAAAAATTCATGCAGATTTTGTATTCTGATCCATGTTGCATTTTTTAAAAAGATTTTATTTATTTGAGAGAGAAAGCACACATGGGTGCGCAATAATGGGAGGAGGGGCAGAGGGAAAGAGAGAGACTCTTTGCTGAGCATGGAGCCCAACGTGGGACTGGATCTCATGAGCCTGAGATCATGACCTCAGCAGAAACCAGGAGTTGGATGCTTAACCAACTGAGCCACCCAGGTACCTGTGATCCATGTTACATTTTAAGTATTACTTTCCTTCTACTCTCAAATCTATGCATAGAACTTTACACTGTAGGAAGATACACATTGTTGATTTTATGACTCCACCCACCCACTGGCATACTAATAAACACTAGACGGGCTTATACCAAGTTTGAGGAACACAGCCCAAGGAGAATTTCAGGAGCAGGGAAAACAACCTTCTGGAGTTCCCTCCGGAACATTAGAATGGTACAATGAGGGTATTTGTATTTCTGGGCCTTCCTCTTAATAGATTAATCCAGAATCTCTGAAGAGGGGTCCAGGAATCTTTACTAACAACTATCTCAGTGATTGTTCTGCATACTGGAGTTTGAGGACCATGATCTCAAGGGGCTCCTCTGTTATTCCCCATTTCTCTTCTACAGTCTGTGAGTTTCGAAGTAGTTTCTGTGAATCAAATAAACTAAACAAAACTGATGCATTATGTGATCTCCACCCATTCCCTGATGTTGGCTGACCAATGGCTGAGAAGCTAAACAAGATTATTTAAGCTCTAAGCTATCAAGAAAGCAGAGAATCTGGGGCGCCTAGGTGGCTCAGTGGGTTAAGCCTCTGCCTTCGGCTCAGGTCATGATCTCAGGGTCCTGGGATCCAGCCCCACACTGGGCTCTCTGCTCAACAGGGAGCCTGCTTCCCCCGCCCCTCTCTCTGCCTGCCTCTCTGCCTACTTGTGATCTGTCTGTCAAATAAATAAATAAAATATTTTTAAGAAATCATTTAAAAAAATAAAAAAGAAAGCAAAGAATCCTTTCTGAGCCTTAATCAAAGGGCACATGGGAGACTTAGATAAGGGAGTTCGGGCACCTGTCCCTTAAGTTAACACCAGGTGTTTCTGCATTCCTCCTTCCTTACAGATGCTAAGCTGTACAATGCATGTTCCTGAAAATTATGTCAGCTGAATTTTTAGGAAGTCAGCTACATTTCAATGCACTAGAGGACAATTCAGTTAATAAAATTCTATCTTTAATTTTAATCATCAACTCTGGCTAAGTGTGAAAAAAACAAAGGGTTATACAGTAATGGGCATGTGATAGATCTTGATTCGCTTAACTACACATTTTACTATTGAATATATGTCAATAACTGTGAAGTTCTTTTGAGAAATCTTGAAGAAGTCTGTGTTCATTTGTTTAACAGAAGACAATGATGAAAAAATGATTATAATATACTACTAGTAAAAAAAACTTCTGGCAGTATAAACATAATTTAAGATTATATTCATGCATGAAAATTATTGAAAGGTTCTACAATTAAATGTTATCAATACTGTAGTTAGTGCTACATGATGACATCACAGATGGAATTTGTTTTATTCCGTATCCATTTCTTCTTTTCTAATGCTTTACAACAAAAGTGTATTACTTTTAAAATAAGAGGAGTTATTTTAAAGATTTGATGCAAGGTAGTGTTCCATTTTCTCTGAGGAATTCTTCTGTATTCTGCGGTGTAGTAACGAATGTGATATTGACTGTCCTGGAGGTCAGAGCTAAAGTCAAACCCTTATAATTCACATACTTTGCATTTACCACTTTTGGGGCCTGATTTTCTTTTTATGCTTCATTATTTACTTGTATATATTTTCGTGGTAAGCAGGGCATTAATAAGTAAGCAGAACTTTGTGCATAAGCTCTAAGGCCAGGAGTCCTGTCAATCAAAACAGGTGTAGCTGGGGATGCCTGTGTGGCTCAGTCAGTTGAGCTTCTACCTTGGGATCTGGCTGTGATCCCATGTTCGGGGGTGGGGGGGGGGTCCCAGCTCAGCAGGGTGTCTGCTTTTCCCTTTGCCCCTGCTCTTTCTCTCCCTCAAAGAGGAAAAAAAAAATATGTGTAGCTGATGATGCCTTCCTCCCAAATTTCATGGTCAGCTGGGACTTAAAAATCAGAAAGTGCAGGGATGCCTGGATGGCTCAGGTGGTTAAATTCCCACTCCTGATTTCCACACAGGTCATGATCTCAGGGTCACGGAATCCGAGCCCCACTTTGGGTTCAGCACTCAGTGAGGAGTCTGCCTGAGATTCTCTCCCTCTCTCTCTGCCCCTCCCCCAATCTGTGCTCACTCTCCCTCTCTAAAATAAATAAATCTTTTTTTTTAAAGATTTTATTTATTTGACAGACAGAGATCACAAGTAGGCAGAGAGGCAGGCAAAGAGAGAGAGAGGGGGAAACAGGCTCCTCACTGAGCAGAGAGCCCGATGCAGGGCTCAATCCAAGGACCCTGGGATCATGACCTGAGCCCAAGGCAGAGGCTTTAACCCACTGAGCCACCCAGGTGCCCCTAAAATAAATAAATCTTTGAAAATAAAAATCAGAAAGCATAAATAAGTAGTTAATACAAAAGTATAAAGATAGTCTGTAGTCCATGGGAAAGCAGGTGCAGTTCAAAAAACAGGAAAGGTTTACCAATTTTTTTCTGTGGATGATAAAGGAAAATATTAAAGAATTTTTTTCATCTTTTGAATAAACATTTAAGTGAGCACCATCCAGTTATTTGTCCATGTTCATCAAACTTCAGTAAGTTCCTTTAATATGAAGGTTTTTTTTTCATTGAACAAGCACCTACTAATTTTTAATTTAAAAAAAATATTCCTTTGTGTTCAAATGATTAAAATGTCTGGAGCGCAGGGATGGGTAATTGAAAATGCTTTGCTCTTTAAGAAGAGGATTGATCTGAACAAGTATAGAACTGTAGGGCCAAGCAAAGTGACCCAGGGTTCACTTAATGCTGACTAGTAAGGAAGGGGGAGAACAAGTACATCAGACATGTGACTGCTGCCATTGTAAATTCTCCTGACTATAAAGAAATTATCATAGGGCCAGAGGAACACTTACTGAAGATGGGAGAGAATACACAGCATGATTTCTTCCATTGTTTGTTTTTTAAAGCATAAGAATTATGAAATTGTCGTATGGGTGTAGGAAAACAGTGTCTCATCCCTTGAGAGGTGTAAGATCTTCAAGACAGGGCTAGTTAGCTAGGCAGCAGGGAAAAGCAGCATTCTCTTTGCCTCTCAGCTCACAGCAGCTGAAGGAGAAAGTTCCTTCAGTACTTTAAACATCTAAGAATAAATGGCTAAGAAAATGAAAGTTTGGGGCACCTGTGAGGCTCAGTTAGTTAAGCATCTGACTTTGGCTCAGGTCATGATCTCAGGGTCCTTGGATCGAGCCCGGCATTGGGCTCTGTGCTCATCAAGGAGGCTACTTGTCCCTTTCCCTCTGCTCCTCCCCCTACTCACCCTCTGTCTTTCTCTGAAATTAAAAAAAAAAAAAAATGAAGGTTTTTCTGAGACTAAAAAAAATCTGGGGGGCCTGGTTGGCCTACCAGTGGGGTGTGCAACTCTGGATCTTAGGGTTGTGAATCCCAGCCTCACATTGGATGTAGAGATTACTTAAAATCTTTAAAAAAACCCAAAGTTTAATTGAATGGTAATTGATAAATATGCATTAGGTGGATAATATATTCTGTACAAAGGTATTAGTATATATTTAATTCTTACTCTATATACATACCTTGACTTAATTCAAAACACTGTAATTCGTTTGGTTAAATAATTTATAGTTACATTTTTTAGGGAAAAGCATAATGGGCAGAAACTATGCTATCCTGGTTTTAGTTTTAGTTAGCCCTTTAGCTAGTGATGATTGAGGAAAACTTCCAAACCCATTAATAGATAGTATAATCGGGATGCGTGGGAGGCTCAGTCAGTTAAGCATCTGCCTTCAGCTCAGGTCATGATCCCCAGGGTCATAGGACTGAGTCCCACATTAGGCTCCTTGCTAAGCAGGAAGCCTGCTTCTCCCTCTGCCTGCCACTCCCCCTGCTTGGGCGCATGATCTCTCTCTCTCTCACAAATAAATAAAATCTTAAAAAAAAAAAAAAAAGAGGTACTATAATCATTCCCCAGTGGCACCTGTCTGAATTGTAGCTGGAATGTTTAGGAGGTCAAATGGGGCTTCTACAGGGCTGATCTGGCCATTCTAAGCCCATGGGTTGGTTTTTATAGTCTAGTAGTGACAACTCTCTTACCAGCAGGGCTTTTGGACAATTCTGATTCAAGTTGTGATAATTCTTTAGCTTTGTGTTCATTGATGGTGGGTGAATTTTCAATGGACTCTGGTGTTGCAGCTAAAACTTCTGAGGGAGAATGACGTCCATTAACTGGAAAAGAACCAGAAGCCATTGGCTGATGTGTTTCATTTTTGGATGCTGTCGGGCTTGAGGCTGACTGATGTAAAGGCAAAGACTTCCTGTATTGGGAAGGCTGAGGGTCATTGCAAAACTCATCGACGTCCACATCATCTTCTGTTCCATTCTTCAACCTGTCAGATTCTAAAACACTGAATTCTCCTACTTCCCGGCCACGGCTTAGCCCAGGTCTCTGGGCGAGTTCATCCTTCACTGCAGAGAATCTCACATGCTTTAATGGCTCCAGGGAGTTTGAGGAGGAGTCACCTTCTAAAGAATGCTCCTTCTCAGAAATTCTCTCATGGATGGTGAGGCCAGGGGCCACCATTTTGGTTTTGGGTTCCAAGTTCTGATGAAAACGCACTGTTTCTGAGTCTGTGCTGCTGGAACTGGAGTTGCGTTTCAGGATCCCTCTGGGAGCCCCCCTTGTGCTCAGGGAGTCTGTCCTTTGTCGGGGAAAAGACTGGTTATCATCGAGCTTTAACTCATGTGATTTGGGGAGCATTTTCCTGGCTTTGGGGATTGGAGTTTTGACCTGAGATCTGTTCTCAGGGCCTGGAAATGTCTGTTTTGTTTTCTCTAAATTTTGGCTTGAAGTTTCTGGGATAGATGAGTCTTCTTTGGACTCTGACAATTCACCTGTAAATTAAAACACATTAGGTGACATGTCAAATGGAGAATAGCTATATAATTTAAAACACCTAACATAAACTTAATCTACATGTAGCAAAAGTAGTAAAATATTAAAGACAATAAAGTATTATCATAAGTGCAGATCTAATTAAAAAACATTTAAAAATTCAGGCATGAACTTCATTGAACCATACATTTAAGATTACTGTGCTTTACATACATACATTGTGGTATTTTTATATTCAATAAAATAATTCTAGAAAAGATTTTTAAAATTCCTTAAGGAGGCTAAGGAAAAACATAGAAGGTACTTTAAAAATTTATATATGAAAACCAGAAAAAGAAACTTAATTTTCTTTTTTTTTTTTTTTTTTTTTTTTGAGAGAGAGAGAGAAAGAGGGCACGAGGAGGGCAAGAGGGGGAAGAAGAAGCAGGTTTCCTGCCGAGCAGGGAGCCAATGTGGGGCTCAATCCCAGGACCCCCAGATCATGACCTGAGCTAAAGGCAGATGCTTAACCGACTGAGCCACCCAGCCACTCTAAGGAACTTAATTTTCTAAAAAAAAAAAAAAAAAAAAAATTAATATTTTTAAAAAGAAAATCTCTAAAATAAAAAATTAATTTTTTCAGGGACTCTTGGGTGATGTAGTTGGTTAGAAGTGTCTGACTCTTGGTTTCAGCTCTGTTCATGATCTCTGGGTGGTGAGATCAAGCCCCGAGTTGGGCTCTGTGCTCTGCATGGAGTCTGCTTGAGACTCTCTCTCCTTTCCCTCCGCCCCTACCTTCCTGCTTTCTTTCTCTCTCTCTCTCTCAAAATAAGTAAATATTTAAAATAAAAACAAAAATTAATTTTTTCAGAAAGTTAAAAAAAAATAGGTAGCATGTTCCAGTGCCCTTTTTTCTCTGTAAAATATTCTACATAACATAATATGTATCCAATAGAGAGGGGAAAATGCTAATATTAAAACAGGATAACTCAAACTCTAACTCCACTACTCAATGTTAATTTTCTACCCTTTGTCCAATATTTAATGCCTGTGGAATCTTTTTACAGTTGCTTTGGAAGAGACTGAATTTTCTAGTATTTCTTCATAATGGCATGGGAGAATGGTAAAATTCCATAAGACACAGACTTAATTCAACTAAGCCACAAACCTGACCAAATGCCTCCTCAGAGACCAGCCTGATAATTACAGATCAGAGGATCACAACGTTGTCAAGTGGCTTTTTTTTCTTGAGGCAAAGTCTTAATTTCACACTAAGTGTGTCTGCATGTGGGAGATATCTAATATGTGCCATGAAATGAATGACTGAATGCCTCTGGTCAAAAATTCCCTCGTTCACTGAGGGGGAACCCAAGGCCCAGAGGTCAAACAAGTGTCAGTTCCAAGACTGGAATGCATGAACTTCCAGTTTCTAAAATTTCTGCTTCCTTCCCTCAGGCAGGGAACCAATGGGCATAGTAAAATAAGAAAACCATCAGGACTTTTCACTTTCCCCTGGAAGTTATTTTAGTTAAAGGAACACTAAGAATTTCCCTTAGTCCACAGATAACAAAGATAAAAATATCTAGTCCATAAAAATAATATTTACCTTCTTTTGGAGTCTGAAAGAAATCACCCTTTCCATTTTTTGACAGCTCACTTTTGGTTTGTTGAGATAACTGATCTTCTGGCAACTTGGAGCTATTAAATGGATTCTTCCTTTGCTAGGGAAAAATATTGCTTATTAAACTCATTTTAAATGTCATAGCAGCAACTCAGTGTTAGCAAATGCTTATTATCTCCAGTATTGATAGTTTTATCCAGTAAACTCTATCTGGCCTGTTTGAAAAAGTACTGTCCTGGTTAATGGGGCTGGCTAAGAGTTACCATAGATGCCAGAGAAAAATTAAACTGTATAAAATATACTCATAATCCAGAGTCTTAGAAAGTTAGACAAAATATAGAATCATCAAGGTTAGGGTAAACCTGGGACTAATCAGGGCAGAATCCCCACACACCCCCACCCCCGCCCTGCCTCATGTGTGCTCTTTCTACCACATGAGACTCTTGCTGTGCTAGATTAAAGCTGAACTAAATAAAATTGTAAATGACCTTTCCTATAAAGAATTAAAAGACACTAATCAAAGTATTTGAAGTATTTCATTATCACTATTATGATCATCAATTCCAATGACAGAAAGGGGATCAGTAAATAGAATTTTTTATTAATATAAAACTGAGTGTCAATGTTTGCTGTCTAGAGTTTCATAAATTGTCAATCCCCTTCCACAAGCAGACCTCTAACAGAGATTCAGGAAGTCAAGAAGAAGAATTTGGACTGATATGGGACTAACAAGTCACGTTCCAAATGCTTAAAAAGAAGCACCCCCCAGTAGCTTGAGACTTTTTATTCTCCAGAGCAAGAAATTAGAGTCTTCAGCAATGCAGAAACATGGTATTCATCAACTTTTCCACCACAAGAGAGTCTTCTTACATTAAATAGTAAAAATCATCTGCATTTGGTGCCAAAAAAAAAAAAAAATCCCCTTTATTTCATGGTGCTTTGCTAAAGCTAGAAAAACGGCATTCTTGCCAAAGATGAGATGTTCGGAGTCTGAGCTCAGTCTACCTTAGCCGAAGACACAGCTGACTTCCTCGTGTTTTCCTGTGACATATCCATCACGGTTGAGGCTGGACTGACCACGCTAGCACTGCAAAAGAAACAATTCAGAGAATAAATACCCTCAGCCTTTGAGAAAGAGTAAATTGTGCCACTGAAGCTGAAAGCTCTTAAGTCAGGACAGCAGAGGAAATCTGTAAAACCAAACGCCAGGAAGAGAGAGGGAGTTGGGGCCTAGAGATGAGTAAGCAGCAAAGCAAAGGCAGGGGCAGAGCAGAAAGAAAAGACAGGCATGAGACAAGCAAAACCATCCAGCAGAAGCTGTCCAGTTTTTATCATGGTACCAAGCACACAAGAGGTTCACAGTGTAAATTTGTAGAAATGCGCTCATCTCCAAGTCAGAATCTGATCAGATGTGGATGACAGGGAGGAACTCATCTCAAGGGGGGGGGGGGGGGGGGGTGTTGGGGGGTGGTACAGCGGCGGACATCATTGTTTAAATAAAGCCCCAAAGAGTTTTATGGCTTGATTTTACAGAATGGCAGTGCTTACTCTTAACTCAGGAGGAAGTAACTGAAGAAAAGATTCAGATGAGACCAATGACTTGACAGCAGATCTAAGGGATGCTGTGCAGGGAGGCTGGTGCGTGCTGACAACTTGCTGAGGACTCTCAACCCCACCCTCCAGGCTGGCCAGCAAGTTCTTGTCCACACACAAGAGGGATAAGGCCAAGCACAGCAGCCGCTGGCTCAGAAGAAGGAAGAACAGTCTCTACCCAAGTCCCAGAATGAGAGCAGGGTGAGAGAAAATGGAGAAAAGTGAGTTTCACAGGGCTCCCTCCTGAGCTACCACTCCCATGGCTACCGAGGAAGAAGGGACAAGGAGAGTCAGAAGGGCTCTAGGAGGGGAGGAGAATCACCTGCTCAGACGTCCTGCTCCATTGGGCTTGCCTCAGGCATGACAGGTGAAGTCACTATTGGCTGAAACCACTGTGCCCCTTAGACCTGTTCTCTTAGTGACATCACAGTCAACAACTTGGAAAATACCTAGGAAGGCACTGGCTTTCCACCATGCAGCAAAGGAACTGGGGTTTGGGGAGGGAGACAATCTGCCCCCAGGCCACAGAGCCCAGCCCAAGAATATGGTGGCTGCAGTCGTGAACTCCACATCCCTGCGGCTTTGTTTCCTTTCCTTCCTTCTGCACTTCAGTTGATCTTTTTGCACAGACTTACTCCCGGGAAGAGGGTGAACTTCCAAAGGAGCTGTTCTTCCTTTCATTACCCTCCTCATTGTTCCAGAAAGGAATTACAGCAGCTGAGGCAGATGTGTGTAAGATACATCTTGATCACATGGGTGTGAATAAGAGGGGAAAAGGTTGGGGAGGGGAAGGGCAGGGAAGAAGAATGGGAATTTACAATGGAGCCAGAATTAAGGCTAATAGAAAAACACATTACAGGAGGCAATTCTCACAACAGGTGGGCACACATTTCTATCAGGTCATCTAGCAACGAATGTTAAAAAAAAAAAAAAAAAAAAGACCTGGTCACTAAGAGAATGCACAGCCAAGAGCCCAGGACTAGAAAGCAATTTCTCTTGACTGCCATTTTAAGGAACCATGGAGGGACATGAGGAACTTTATAGCACATGGCAGGCTGTCTCAGAACATTTTAGATCATCTCCTTATACATAAAGCAATCACATGATCAGAGGACCTGAACCCAGTGTTGCTGGTTGGGGCAGTCCATGGAACACCCATGTTCTCCTACCACTGTCCTCCTTTCTCCCCCCACTCAGCAAGAACAAAGGATAAGCAGGGACACGACGCTTTGCCCTCTCTTCTCCTTGGAAACCTAGTTCCTGGGCCTCCCGGGCCTCAGCTCTGAATGTGTATATTTCACATCATAAAACCAGACATGAAACCAGTCTCTCTCTTACTAAACTCTACCCAGCAATGTACCTCATGTCTACTGTGCAACCTCACTCTGTGCGTACATATCATCTCTCACAGTAAACAGGAGATCCCCCAGGAGTACCATCTTGACCATCTCTTTTTTTTTTTAAGATTTTATTTATTTATTTGTCAGATAGAGACTACAAGCAGACAGAGAGGCAGGCAGAGAGAGGAAGGGAAGCAGGCCTTCCACTGAGCAGAGTGCCTGACACGGGGCTCAATCCCAGGACCCTGGGATCATGACCTGAGCCGAAGGCAGAGGCCTTAACCCACTGAGCCACCCAGGCGCCCCCATCTTGACCATCTTTATAACCCCCTGCAATGCCGTGTAGAGAAGCTCGTGCAAAACTACAACCAGTAAACAACTGAAAAGATGAAGGCCACTGAGCCAGCACCAGGGAAGGCAGCAGCCGATAAGTAACCATGACTCTTCCTTTTAAAATTCATGTTATTTGCCAAACAACAAGGAGGCACATTATTTAGATTTTTTAAAAAAATGCCTTTCTTTCTATTTGCTCAGAAAGCAAAAGAGGAAGGAATGACACATTCAGAGCACAGGGCCAGTCACTAAAATACAGAAACACACAGTATTCGCTATGTTACCGTGTAGCTGGGAGAGAGGAAAATGAAATGGGGGTGGGACACAGGGTTAGCTACTTGGTTAGTCTGCTTACTTTGAAAAAATGAAAATAAGAGTCTTAGATCTCCAAGTCTGTCTGTGAAAATAGAGCGACTTCTTAGATTAAGGTCTGGCTTTGCTTCTCTTGAGGAATACAGCAATGTTTTGCATGCCTGCCTATTATTTGGCAAGAACCATTACAGCAACCGTTGAATTTTCAACTGCTTTCTGCAACACCTCTATAAGGTATGTACCCTTCTCCCCCTTTTACTCATGAGAAAACTGAGGCTTGGGGAAGCTAAGGAATCTGTTCAATGTCACAAAATGAATTAATGAAGAGCTGGGGATTTGAGGCAGGTATCTGACCGTGACCCCAAAGACACACATTGTCATGGCTAGGCTATCCCGCCTCTGACTTCTCACATTAATAAAGCAATGGTTCATAGCAAGGGGACTGGGGTCCAGGTGATTCTTCCTTCCCAGTGACTCTCACATCCATCACTTCCTTTCCACTCCTACTGTCACCTCCTATATTTCTGTTGACTCGATTAGGTTCACATCTGACCTCCTGATACTGAAGTCCTGTTTTTCTAACCTACTCAGCATTCCGCCACTAAGCTTGGATGGTCTCAAACACAACTTTGACCACCTTGTCCCTCTTCTGCTCCTTACCTTTCCCTGGATCCCCAAGGCCTGTGGAATGAAGTCTGAATTTGTCAGGAAGGAACTGGAGATGCTCTGCCGTCTACCCAATGTACTTTCCCCCTCTTCTTTCCTGTTGACCCTTCATGCTAAATGAAGTTGTCTGTCTACTCATTATCCCCAAAACTTCCTTGCCTTGTTGCTATCTGCACTCAGCCTATTCCCTAGCCCTGCCCTTGTGTATTTGCTGGGCTCTTCGCCCAAATCCTTGCTGTTATCTCCAAGCCCAAGCCAAATTTCACCCTCACGCAATGCTCCTCCTCTATCAGCCCAACTGGAAGTGGGTCTCCTTGTCTCCAATCTTGCAGCACATCTCCTTGGTACTTTGGATCAGGAATGTTCTCTCTGCCTGGCGCTATTCGTTATCATGTGATCAGATATTCACATAAAGGATCCATAATTTATCCTAAGAGAGTATAGTCTCTTTATAGCCAGATACTATGTCTTTGTTTCTTGGAATCCCTCTCGGAGGCAGGAGACTGTGTCCTGCATATAAAAGATATCCAATACATTCCACAAGATGAGCTTTTTAAACCGGAGCAAGCCAAATTCCACACCCTGTGCTTGTAATTCTTCCCTCAGGCACCCTTCAAAAACTACCTGCAATACCAGAAGGAACACTTAGACAAAATGTGCTCACTTTGCTGGGAGAACTATTAAAGTATTAAATTGTGATATTGGCATTAGGGTCCAAAGTATCTGCTTTTTAACACGAGTCTCTGAAGACTTAGCTCTACAGAATAATCACGTTCGGTACTGTGGCAGGGATGCTGGGGAAAGAGGTGGGGTTTTCGATCACACCACTTAGGCAGCTGGATACCCCATCTGCTTCTGTGTCCAGCCCTAAAGTGCTCCAAAGCACATGAAAGCAAATTTTTTAAAGATTTTATTTATTTATTTATTTATTTATTTGACAGAGAGAGAGAGAGAGAGAGAGAGAGAGAGATCACAAGTAGGCAGAGAGGCAGAGAGAGAGGGAGAAGCAGGCCCTCCACTGAGCAGGGAGCCTGATGTAGGGCTCGATCCCAGGACCCTGAGATCATAACCTGAGCTGAAGGCAGAGGCTTAACCCTCTGAGCCACCCAGGCGCCCCATGAAAGCAACGCTTAAGAGCTTTTGAACCTTAACTGGCCTTTCCTTCTTAAAAAAAAAAAAAAAAAAAAAGTTAAAAATAACAGCCGACATCTTATGCCTTCTTTTGAGGCATTTTGCAGCTTACATATTAACAGTACTGAACCGGAAGCAAATTCTGCAAGTGATTTTTGTCATGTGTCGTCATCATTATTGTTGACCTCTCCCTTTGGACGATGAGAACCTTGGAAGCAAATGCTGCGTCACACCCCCTGCGCCCAGCATCATGCTGGCCAAGTGACACTCAGTGAAGCTCCATCACGTGAATAAACAAAAGAAATAAACAAAAGAATAAACAAAAGAAATGGGGATAAAGGGAGAGAAGTAAATTAGAAAATATGCTGGGCCAAGCCTTTTAAGTCGGTAGTTTCTGAAGTAAAACATTACTTGTGTGGGGCCACCACACCACACGCTACACATTGCTCTCACACAGATGTCACAGTGCAACTATTTCGACCAAAAGTGATTTGAGTAAATCCAACATCCTACAGGATGAAGAAAGATTGTTTTAAAGAGCTCCATAGAAGTGGTTCTGTGGGGCAGGCCTCTAAAAAATGAAACAGTCACTCCCTGGATTCGCAGTGCATCCAAGGACAAAAGATCAAATGCACTGTCCATAGATCGGCTCACCTCTACCTTGACCCTGGGAGCAAGATAAGAGGCTCACATTGATCTTGTTATTGAGGTG